TAAATATTTACTGAATGGGACTTCCCTGGTGGTTCAGTGGATAAGCATCTGTCTGCCAATGCAGGGGACACTGGTTCGATCCCTGGTCCGGGAAGATTCCACATGTGGTGGAGTAACAGCTTGCGTGCCACAACTATTGAAGACCACATGCCTAGAGTCTGTGTTCCACAACGGGAGAAGCCACTGCAATGAGAAACCCACACACTGCAACCAAAACTACCTCCCAAAGGAGACCCAGCACAGCCAAAAATAAATAATAAATAAATTTTAAAAAACTAATGAACAAATGAAATAATCAATTAGTGACCAAAATGGTATCTCAAGTGGTTAAAATTTTAAAGATACTTTACTAGATGAAAGAAACTTCTATTCTACTAAAGCTAAAAAGCAAAAAAATCAAACAAAAAAAGGGAGGAAAAAAATCTAAATTTTAAGGGTTTGTCATGCATTTTGATTGAATTTCAATTGTCTGTTTGGTAGGTGGCTGGTATACTATCTAATGTGGGTATAGGTCAGATCTGAGTGAAGGCAGAGAAAATAAGCAACTAATATTTCACAACCTGGATGAAGACAACATTAAATTGATATTTAATGTAGCTCAAACACTGTTTAGTAAGTCAACAATTATGGATGCAATTCATACAACTAAAATAAGCAGTTCAGAAGATGGAATTTAATTTAAATATTTTGCAAGGGTACTTACTACTTATTTTGATAATACGAAGTCTAATGTTAATATCAGCCACACTGTAAAGAAGGTAAGATGCCCTGGAACCAGGGAATGGTTACTCACTCCAGTTTTTTTTTTCCACTCCAGTATTCTTGCCTGGAGAATTCCATGGACAGAGGAGCCTGGTGGGCTACAGTCCATGGGGTTGCAAAAACTGAGAAACTAATACATAAAAAAGGTATAGTGGACCAGAATATAGATTATATACAGGCTTATTCACCTTTCCAAAGAATTTATGGGGGTAAAAAAACCCCACATCAAAGACCACACCTATTTTTTGCAAGATGGTGGGTCTTCCAGTCAGCGGTCTCTAACCAGGGTACTCAAAGATTTTCTGAGGGATGCAGACATTTTTAAGTGAATGAACTGACAGACCCTCAATTTCCATCTGTATTTTTCCTACAAGTGGTCTGCCTAAGTACGATACCACCGCCCCTCTATGAACTCCCACCTCGCTGACAGAAGAGAAGGGTGGACTGCACACCACCCTGAATCTTAGAAGACATAGAAACTGCCACATCATCGAACAAAGGGCCAGTCAAACATCGGTGTCCATGAGTCTCCCTGACTCGCACTGTGTGCTCAAGGAGGAGGTAGGGGCTCGTTATGAATACTTACACAAGAGTCTGATCAGGGTGAAGGATGGCATCAGAAATAGGGCGATATGGAGCCACACGGGGCTGTTTAGATCCAATTATATATCAAAAAAATATTTAAAAAAATACACGTGATAGGATGAAATGAGAGTGGTGTGACTCTCCTTTAAGGACTTTTAACACTCTGACTATTCCCAAAGACTCTATCACTGAGCTCCAGCCCTTGGAGAGCAAAGCAAACACTTAATCACAAATAAGCGAATAAATAAAGCCCCGCACTGGCTTTTGTGCCCTTCCCTTCTTTGCTCCTTTTCACCTGGCTTGGGTGACTGTTGAAGGACCGTGTTGATAACTCAGGTGGAGAACAAAGAAGGGGAGTGGGTTACGAGGAGAAAGGGCCAGTTTTCAAAAATAAATAAAGAGCAGACGGCCTAAAAGCATCTCACCAAAATGATACTGAAAAATACTTGTTAATGGGATTTTAATTATCTTATCTCTGTTGGAGCATTTTGGGTTAAACAAGTTGCCTTTAAGTAAAACAGAAACAGGTTTAGTTAATAGTTATTTGAGGAGTTTTAATAAAGTCTTTTTTGGTGTACTTCCCAGAAACGGAAAAAAATTAAAGGTCTCAAGGGTTGAATAACAATTTGTTTTGTAAGTCAGGTAATTTCCAATTCTTTATTTTCAATACAATTGAAGAAGGAAATAATTGAGTTGTCATTTTTGGCACAGAACTGAGAAGGAAGTGAAAGAATTAAGTGACATTATAATAACAAAACTCCTGCCATCCCATGTACTTATTCACCATATCTCAGCATTTTTATCTCTAAAAATGAAAGACAGGTAAAAATGATGATACTAAGCTCTTTCTTACTCTAGCAAAAAGTATTATTTGTCCATTTACTCACAAACTAGCTTCTTAAATGCCCTCCCCTCCCATATTTGATAATTATTTCTACGAAAAATGATTTAACAGCACTAACAATTTATCAACATATATTTGCTTGGGTCAACTGTGAATAAAAAACAATAACTTAGTTTAGGAGAAATTTCTTTTAATACTCATAAAACCTGGAAAAATGTCTTCAAACTTCTGCATATGTACATATGCATACATATATATGTTAAAGAGATGTATGATGAGGTGATCAATAAAAGACTTTCAAGCAACTAAGTCTATTACATGAGAATAAAATACTGTGGAGAGAAACAATCAAAAAGGGGTTTGGGGGAAAAAAGAAACAATATAAAAATTATAGGTGTTACAGGACAGCTTGTTCATGAACATTTCTAATGGGTTAAATTACTAAAGAATCAGACTCCATACACTTAAAGGGATGACTTTTAAATGTTAGTCTTGACAATACCCTTTTCATTTTCATAATTTCTGGGAAGTAAAACAAAAGGCTTTACTAAGACTTATGAAATGACTATTACACGATTCCAGTTCCTCTTTTACTTAGAGGCAACTTACTTAACCTGAATACTCAAGAGAGATGGGAAAACAGAAATACTATTACATCCTTTGCAACTATTTTGACAAGAAATTTGTATGTCATCTTAAAGTGTATGAGGGGAGTATGCCTTAGTTTTACATTATTTGGGGGGTATGTGAGCAGAAAAATTTGAAGGCTACTGCACTGGGGAATGGTTTAACCTGGACCACCCGACCTCATGACTTTGAAAAGTTTTCAGCAATTGGAGCTGTATTTTCTGGTCATCTCATGGGATATCTTTGGCCCTAAATGGCAACCAGTGCCAAAAAAATGAAAGACAGGTAAAAATGATGATACTAAGCTCTTTCTTACTCTAGCAAAAAGTATTATTTGTCCATTTACTCACAAACTAGCTTCTTAAATGCCCTCCCCTCCCATATTTGATAATTATTTCTACGAAAAATGACTTAACAGCACTAACAATTTATCAACATATATTTGCTTGGGTCAACTGTGAATAAAAAACAATAACTTAGTTTCGGAGAAATTTCTTTTAATACTCATAAAACCTGGAAAAATGTCTTCAAACTTCTGCATATGTACATATGCATACATATATATGTTAAAGAGATGTATGATGAGGTGATCAATAAAAGACTTTCAAGCAACTAAGTCTATTACATGAAAATAAAATACTGTGGAGAGAAACAATCAAAAAGGGGTTTGGGGGAAAAAAGAAACAATATAAAAATTATAGATGTTACAGGACAGCTTGTTCATGAACATTTCTAATGGGTTAAATTACTAAAGAATCAGACTCCATACACTTAAAGGGATGACTTTTAAATGTTAGTCTTGACAATACCCTTTTCATTTTCATAATTTCTGGGAAGTAAAACAAAAGGCTTTACTAAGACTTATGAAATGACTATTACACGATTCCAGTTCCTCTTTTACTTAGAGGCAACTTACTTAACCTGAATACTCAAGAGAGATGGGAAAACAGAAATACTATTACATCCTTTGCAACTATTTTGACAAGAAATTTGTATGTCATCTTAAAGTGTATGAGGGGAGTATGCCTTAGTTTTACATTATTTGGGGGGTATGTGAGCAGAAAAATTTGAAGGCTACTGCACTGGGGAATGGTTTAACCTGGACCACCCGACCTCATGACTTTGAAAAGTTTTCAGCAATTGGAGCTGTATTTTCTGGTCATCTCATGGGATATCTTTGGCCCTAAATGGCAACCAGTGCCAGTGGAATACAGATCTAGGATGCTGAGGTCTTCCTACTTTTCTGAGCCTTGTCTGGGATGATGTGACCCAAGGTTGTCCGTGGGATGTTGCAGGGAGCCAGCATGCCCCTCTTCACCAGCAATTCCCTTCCTGAGCACTGCTGGGGAGCACTCCCTAACCTCAGACTTTATCCTCCTTGCTGTCTCTCCAACATGGGGCTTGGTTCAGGAGCTAGCAAGAAGGCTGATGCTTCTGACCACAGACCACCCTTGCCTCTTGCCAGGGAGCCCCACTCACTGCCTCTCCATGACCAATGTTAAGGAGGGGAGGTAGGGGCTCCTCCACTTCCCTGCAGCTGTACTTTTAAGTAGAAAGCATAGCAGGGCTGTGAGCAGTGCTGGTACTGCTTGGATTCTAATCTCAGCTCTATCACTGCCATCACAAAGGCAGGCTACTAAACCTCATAATGCCTCAGTTTACCGACCTGTTAAGTGATGGTAACAACAGAACCAGCTACTGGGGTTGTGAGGATTACATGCAATACTGAGCTGACATATGAAGGCTTAATAAAGGAAGCTGCTATTATTAAATGTAAAGCTCAGGATTTAAGAAGTGAAAAAAGAGAAAAGGTAGGAATCAGCAGAGTGCTACCCTAAAATCTCCTATCCTATGGTTCCCAGTTTGGCTTTTCAGCCAAGCTTGGTCCTAACTGGCAGAAGCAGTAGCCCATGCTTTTTCCCAAAGGAGGCTGGCTGCAGTTTACCTCTGATGGGGAGCCTGGCTCCCCCACACCTGGGCTTGCCCTAGAGACAGAGGAGTGCAGAGGGGGACCCCAGTGTTGTCATACACAGCAGGCAGGATTCTGCACAAATCTCCCATGCACAGCACAGACTTCCTCCCCTGAAGGCCCCCTTTCGCATGGGTGAGTGGAGATGACAGAGGCATGACAGGCTGAAGTGACCCAGGGTTCCTCTTTAACTCAGCGAGAAAGGAAACTTACCTGAAGATCGATGAGACAAAAGAGGACCGGTCTGGCTTTGCATCAACTGTATCATTGTTTTCGGGATCCTCAGGTCCCTGCTCCACAATATGGCCTTGATCATCTGCCATCTGGAAGGAAAAAAACCAACCAGAAAATTGGTACCCAGTGGCATCACTGGCCTCATGATGTTTTAAATAACACTCATTCAGTGACACAGCTTTTTAATTAAGCCTAGAGATGATCAGTATTGCCTATCTGGGCTCCAGGGATGTTGTACCAATAATTCATTCAATGCTCAAGTGCCAGCTCTACTTCAGGCTTCCCTCCAGTGTCTGGATACACAGCTGCAAAGAAAGCAAAGTCCTTGTCCCTCTGGGAGCTTCTAATCCAACATTCATGATTTTGTTAAATGTTCACTGTGTAGGAGAAACTGTGGAAGGTTCATCAAGGTCTGTAATAACAAGAAACTCCCCCTGAATCCCTGACAGGTTATAAGACGTTCATCCTTTGCCTGGCATCCCTCAAGCCCAGTTCAAAAAACAGGGACTTCCCTGGAGGTTCCTTGGTTAAGAAGCTGCCTGCCAATGCAGGGGACACGGGTTTGATCCCTGGTCCAGGAAGATACCACATGCTGCAGAGCAACTAAGCCCGTGTACCACAACTATTGAGCTGTGTTCTAGAGCCTGGGAGCCACAGTTGCAGAGCCTAGGTGCCAAAAATACAGACGCTGATGTGCGCCAGAGCCTGTGCTCTGCAACAAAAGAAGCCACCGCAATCAGAAGCCTGCTGGCCACAACTAGAGAAAACCTGTGCACAGCAATGAGACCCAGTACAGCCAAAAAACAAATAAATAAAATAAAAACGGCAGCAACCGGGAGTATAAAGCTCTCTGTTTCAGATGATTTTTCTAATTTTGTAAGGTTGAAGCTGAAGTTACTGATTTGTGACCTTTACTTCTTTCCTACATACAGGTGTTCAGTGCTAAAAATCTCACTCTATGTACTTGCCACCTGTTTTGTAAATAACGTTTTATTGGAACACAGTCACACCCATTCATTTACATATTGTCTGTGGCTACTTTCCCACCACAACCATAGTTCAATCATTGTGACAGACATCATGTGGCCTGAAGTGCCTAAAATATTTTATCACCTGGCCCTTTAAAAACAGGTTTGCAAACCCCTGATCTAGGATAATTACTAGCCAACAGGATCCCTTGGGACTTCCTAGGTGGTTCAAGAGATAAATGATCCACCTGCCAAAGCAGGAGACAAGGGGCTTGATCCCTGGGTTGGGAAGATTCCCTGGAGGAGGAAATGGAAACCCACTCCAGTATCCTTGCCTGGGAAATCCCAGGGACAGAGGAGCCTGGTGAGCTACAGTCCATGGACTATCATAGAGTCAGACACAACTAAGCAACTAAACAACAATAGGATCTCCTACTCACCTACTACTTCCCTTACTTTAAGAAGCAAAATTAATGATAATAAAAATAATTTATTATTTGCCGAGCTAATCACGTTGTAAGTATTATCTTATTTAATACTCTCCCAAATGATGTTGGGATCTCCCAGGTGATGTCAGTGGTAAAGAACCTGTCTACCAGTGCAGGAGACATAAGAGATGGAGGCTGGATCCCTGGGTTGAGAAGATCCCCTGGAGGAGGGCATGGCAACCCACCCCAGTATTCCTGCCTGGAAAATCCCAAGGACAGAGGAGCCTGGTGGGGCTACAGTCCACAGGGTCATAAAGTGTCAGATACGACTGAAGCAACTTAGCACACGCGCATTCAAATACTATTAGATCAGCCCTATGATCACTGCCTTTGACAGATGAGGAACATGAGGTTAGAAAAAGGTAGTAACTGGCCCCAGGCTAAGTAACTAGTTAACCAAACTCAGAACTGAAGCCAGCAATAGCACTGAGCCCAGCCCTCACCAACATACCATTCAGACTCCCAGGCTCTAAGCATCCCTGGGCCCACCATGCTTGTTTCAGGCTCCATCAGGGCTTACGGTTCTTTCAGTCTGGAAGTCATCACCCAAACCTTTGCTGGACAAGCCATCTTTGGCCAGATAGCTAGATCTCCATCTTCAGAATTCGGTTCACTGGTACCTCTGCTGGGAGGTCCTCCCTGATTATACCTGCCTCCCCAGCTCCTTCCCTTCCCCCAGTCTCTTTACAGTCCTTGTATTTGTCTTGATTATCAGCACTCTTATTGCTTAACATTGTCAAACATGACAATGTAAGTTCATCATGACAGAGGCGCCTGGCACTCATAAAGTATTTGCTAAACAAATATTAATTGAATGGGAAGCTGGAAGAAACAAACACCCCAAAGGAAGAGAATTAGCTAAAAGTGACACAGCTGGTCAGAAGCAGAGCATGTACTAGAGTCCTTTCTCCTAAAGCAAGCCCTGTGTCCTTTACTGTAAAGGGCGTGGCCTTTTGCAACAAAGCGAGACCTCCCCAGACTCTGTTCATGCTGGTTTCTATCTCAGCAATCTCGGGGTCACAGGTGGCAGCTGCAGGTCTGCACTCCTATCAGTCTCACCCCCAGAGGTTTTCACGCAGTTGGAAAATAAGGCATCTATCTGACTGTGCCCCAGAGCACAAGCAATGACTTTTAGAGCGGGCAGAAGGAATCTAGATGGGGGTAGGCGTCCAAGATGGCAAAGTGCTGACCTTATAACCCTGAGTGGTATTATCCTGTCACCTTAGCTTATTTGGGGGTCAGCTGGGCAGTGAGAAGTGACAGGGAGAGTAAGTTCTATGACCAGATCTCTACAAAGACAGTGAGAAGTCTGATGGCCATCTTGTTCCTCAACACACAATCAACACCCCACCATAGACACCAAACTGTTTTCGAATGGGAGGCAGTAAGATTTTTCAGATTAGGACCCAAACTGTTTCTTAAAAATAGAGATAACCCATATCCAGAGGAAATGAATGTTAGGTATAGACATGTAGAAAACACACAATCATTTTTATTTCATCTCCTTCACACAGACTTAGTTACTTGTGGATCATTATTAGTAAAACACGGAGATATTTTCAAAATTAACCAGTTAATGTTATACAAAATCCACCAGAAAAAGACACATAACTTTGACATGTGGTGTTGAAGCCTTAAGTCTTTTGTCCTAGAGATTGTTAAACAAAGTAAGAAAGAATTGTATATTAATGCTAAGGCTAATCTTGAAGACTGAACCTAGGATGTATGATGATAAAACAATGTGAACATTATATAGATCATCATATCTATGTATCAATATACAGATACAAGTTCCTGGAAGTTCAATGCACCAGGTGTGAACTAGGAGTCTGGGAGACACCTGACCTGGCCCTGCCTTGCTGAGAGACAGGCACATAGCATGAACGTTGACAACCATGATCAGGGCCACTTGTGGTCAGAGCAGGGACCTGACCAAGCCCCAAAGGAATTAGGGAGGGTTCTCTTGACCTGGTATTCCCGGTGGTTCAGAAGGTGAAGAGTTGGCCTGTAGTGCAGGAGACCCGGGTTCGTCCCCTGGGTCAGGAAGATCCCCTGGAGAAGGAAATGGCAACCCACTGCAGTATTCTCGCCTGAAGAATCCCAAGGACAGAAGAGCCTGGAGGACTATAGCCCATGGGGTCGCAAAGAGTTGGACACGACTGAGCGAATAACACTTTCATACTTTCACTCTTGACCTGAGGTCTGAAAAGGGGAAGCAGAGAAGGTGGAAGTGAGGGAGGCAGCGAAATACATACCCATCAAATACCCGAAACGCTCCATCGACAGAGGGGAGCAACTTAAACCCCTCATCCCTCCCTGACACTTGAAAGGGGTTTGGACTTAAGTGACAGGCTGATTTCCACAGCTTAGAGGTAGGAAGATCTTCAGAGATTTCTTTGCAAACTCTAAGCCAGGAGGGTCTTCTGTTTGAAACCTATAGCATTTTTCTGGGCTGAGGCTGAACACTTGTTTAGGGGGGCACTGAGAGACCCTTCTAACAATGTTTAGAATGTGTGTCTAAAATGAGGCAGTAAGATGGAGCTTCATTCTTGTATCTGTAAGGCTAAACATTCAGTGACTGTCTTATTCCTCTGAGGCTTGCGTTAATTTCTGATTGAAGTAAAGTTCACCCAGAATGAGAGTGGTGACCGAGTGGGGTGCCTGTTCTTGGTCCCATCATTTCAGTTAAGCCAAGGCTTGGTGTTGACCTTTTATTTATGCTTCTCTTTGAAGCCCAAGATAATCCAGGCCTATCTCGGTCAGCTACGCCTGGAGAGAGTATGTCTGGCGTCATTTTCTTGTATTCATTCCTGCTGCAATGCTAAGGCTGCAAAGACCAGTCAGTCATTTGGGGGAATATATCGCTTACTCAATTGTCAAACATATCTATCTTCTTTTTAATAAATTAATATTTAATACACATACAGCATTAGCAATGCCAGGCACTCTCTGTAAATACTCAGTTATTATTATTACTCTTACTATTATCCACTAGGACTCTTATTTGTAGTTTGAGAAGTTATCTTAATCATCATTTTTCTTCTGGTCTCAGTCATAGAAAAGTGCCAGGTATACAACAGGCACTCAATAAATATTTCTTTATTAATGTCACAACTGAAATGTACTTAAACATTTTGAATTCTTCAGGGCCCTGACTAAATTGTTGGCATGGGACAGACAACGGAATCAAAGGGATTCGGGAAGGTGGCTGAGAGCCTGATGAACTGCAGGCCAGGCGTGTAAATCAGCACCTCCACCTAAAAAAATCACATTAATATTTTAAACAGCTTTTGTGAAGATTGGAAAAAAGTTACCCTAGTGATTATTTCTACACATGTTTAAGTGACTCATACATACGTGGTAGGAAGTCATTTCCCAGCTATTATCTGAATTTCATTGCAGCTGTTTCCCCTGAAAAGTGACATAATACAACTTGTGCCTCACCCTAGCCCCAGTGAAGACCACTTTTCTAAAAGGCTCAAAAAGAAGGCCCCCAGAGTACCTCCACCGCTCACCTCCAGCACCTGTGGGGGGCGGGGGGTTCTGCTGGGCCTGAAGAACTCCACTGTCCTGTGATGCTCACAGCACTGCCAGGAAGCTGGAGCCTATTGCAGAAGAAACTTTGGTTTTTTCAGAGACGTTAAAAACCCTGCCCAAAGCCACACAGCTAACAGGAGGCAGAAGTGAACTATGAGACCAGGCAGTGGCTGGCGACCACTGTGGCCATCAGGCTATAAGACCCTAAAGGAGTAACTAGCTTGTAATTAGGGCCACGTCCTTGGCCAGCCCAGGAGTTCACGGGAAAAGGCCCGGGGATTACTCAGAACCACTCGCAAACGATTTTACTGCCCCATAAAAGGCAAACTTGCATACAAAGGTGAAGGGTTGCAGACGGAGAATCCTGCCTTTCTCCACTTCCTCAAGGAATCAAGAGCCCCGCAGGATGTCAGCGGCTTACGCTTATCTGTAGTTTGCTAAGCCCAGACAGAGGCACTGCAGTGCACTGCATTCCCCTCATTCACCCTCCCGGCCCACCACCAGACCCATTTCACAGACAGGCAGAGAGAGGGTCAAGGCCCCACAGCTGACAGGCCGGACGCTGGGACTGGAACCCTGGACTGTCAGACACGGGAAGCCCCTGTGTTAGCCAGACGGGAGAACAAGCCCCTCCCGGCCTCCCAGGTACCCCCCTTCTCCCCTTCCAGGTACCCCTCTCCCAACCTCCCAGGTCCATCCCGCATTTTCGAATCCCGAATAGCAACGAGTGTCCCGAGCCCGGGGGCTAGACGGGAAGGGAGGGCAAAGTGAGCAAAGTAGGTGATACTGGGGGTGGGGAAAGCCTTCTTTCTCAAGTTTTACTGCTTTGCCCGAAGGAACCCGGCCCCTGACGACCGCGCTCGGGACAACACCGGAGCGGGCAGCCGGGCGGGAAGGGAGGAAAGCGGGAGAAGGAAGGGCGGCGGCCCACGGGAGAGACGCCCGGCGGAGACGGGGGCCGAAGTTACCGTTCCCACGGCGACCGGACGGCCGGAGATGGCGTACGTCTCCGTCGCTCAGCTGTGAGGGTCTGCGGCCGCTAGAACCAAATCGAAACTAAAAGCTCCAGCGTAACCGGGGGAGGAGTCGCCCGGGGCTAGACCCGGAGCGGGCGGGGCTATGGACGCCGCCTCCGACTCGGGACCCGGTGCTCAGTACCGTCGGCCGCGCGCAGGACCCCCGCGTCTCCGCGCGCCCTGTCGGGGAGAGCGCGCCCAGCCCCGCTGGCCGAGCGTCGCGCCCGCAGTCCCCGGAGGGCGCCTGGGGCAAAGCTAGTGGCGCGCACCAGAGAGCGTGCTAGGCAAAGTTTGCAGAGCTCTAAAGGGATCCCGCCGCCGCGCGCGCCGTTCCCCCGAGAAAATTTTGCAGAATCGACCGGGCTCCCAGTGATCCGAAGAGCGCGCTGCGCTCGGCTCCGCTCCGCAAGTCCGCCACACACAGTGTCCCCAGCCGCGCTGAACTGAGAGCGCGCCTGGCAGACTTCCCAGGGGCGGCGGATCATGGGGCGCTCGTCAGAGTCCCCGCTCCTGTCCTTTGGCTGCTGCCCTCTGTCTACAGCTCGACTTCGGCCTCCGCATCAGCTCCGGGACCCAGTTCCCAAAGCCCGAAGGCTGCTGCCCAGCCAGATCCTGACCCCACCGGGTGCGGGTCGGGTCCCTTGGGGGACGGGGCGCCCGCACCTGCACGAGTTTACCGAGGGCGGGCGGTGGGAGCCGCCGTGGTCTCCAGCTCCCAGAACTTGGTTACACTCCGCGGCGCGCCTTTCTGCAGGGCGCGTTCCCACAGCCTAACACCTCCTGCAGGCTTGGATGGAGCTCCAGAATCATTCATGGACTGTCTATTGAGCTCCACCACGTGTCAGCCACTGGGTGCGTGCGTGCCTGCGGAGTCGCACGGTTGTGTCCGAATCTTTGCGACCCCATGAACTATATATAACCCGCCAGGCTCCTCCTCTGGTATTCTGCAGGCAAAGATCCTGGTTCGGGTTCCCATTTGCTCCTCTAGGTGGGGATCTTCCCGACCCAGGGATCTAACCCTCGTGTCTTTTGTCTTCTGCATTGGTAGCCATGTTCTTTACCACTAATGCCAACTGGGAAGCCCAGCCACCGGGTGTGTGGCCGTAAGTTAGTCTAACACGGGAGCGACATTGTAGTAGACCCAATACCACTTCCCTCACCCACGCGTGCCCCCACATTTGTCTTTCTTCAACCTGGAGACTCCAGCGGAGGCCTCCAGGGCCTTGCTCTCCAGGACTTCTCACGCGACCGGCTAATGAACACAGGCGCGCTGAGGTGTAAATAGCTTAGGAGAAATTACAGTTTTCTTCACACCAGAGACATTTGCTATGAAACTGTCAACGCCTTGAGAGAAAGGAGCGAATCTTCAGGATGTGACGTCAGGCAAGAACGGGAATCTCCTCTTTGCTCTCCTCTGGGCCTGAGACTTCAATATGCTCCATAAAATCTCACCAGGTAAGGACACTTTCTTGGTTTAAGAAACACTGGCCCCAGGCAAGTGTAAGTGAATAATTGTAATTTAATAACTTCTGCCAGAATCCCGAATTCATGAATATTTTAAACAGGCCATTATACTATTTACACTATGGCTATGCTATAGTGTATGCACTATATGCACACGTCCCCCAATTCATATATTGAAACTTAATCCCCAAAGTGATGACGTTATGAGGTGGGGCCTTTGGGAGGTGCTTAAATCTGAAAAGTGGAGCCCTGGGGTTAGTGCCCTTGTAAAGCTGGCCAGACAGAGCTTCCTGGCCTTTGCCACCAAGTGAGGACACAGAAATTGCAGTCTGTAACCCAAAGAAGGCGTTGACTAGAACCCAACCATCCTGGCACTGTTCTTGGCCTTCTAGCCTCCAGTTCTGAGAGGAATAAATTTCTGTTGTTTGTAAGCTATTCACCCTGTGGTATTTTGTTACAGCAACTGAAACAGACTAAGACAGGGTATCCTATTCTTTCTTTAATACCCATATTTCTGAAATGTCAGGGCCAACTAAGGCATTGTAGACCCAAAGATAAAATACTTTTTGAAGGAATTCAATTGTGAATCACTTGAGAAATGAAAAATCCTTTAGTAAGGCAAATAAATTACTCTTTAATTTGTCTTATTTATATAACTAAGTTTTTGCAAGTTATTCCTGAAATATAATGAAACAGTGATAGATGTGGAGGAGCCTTCACAACTAATCCCTCTGCTCATGTTATAGATAAAGAATCTGAGGTTCAGAGAGGTTGCCCACATCATAAGCTTGCTAGTGACAGAACCAGGATCAGGATGCTTATAAAAATAATAAATTTTCCATCTGCAAGAGTTATGTCATAATTATATCATGCAATTATTAAAACGTGTTGAACACTGGAATTCACTGCCGACTCAGAAAGACGATTTGAAGCAAAACTTCGCTTTTTCAGTTCTCTAGTGTGGACTGATGTGGCAACTCTGAAAGTATTGCTCCAAGGCTGGATTATCACAGCACCAACAAATAAAACTACAGATATGTGAAAGGGAAAAAACAGTTTTAAATTTTTCCCTCTCTGGCGAGACAGCAGAAGAGACACAGATGTAAAGAACAGTCTTTTGGACTCTGTGGGAGAAGGCGAGGGTGGGATGATTTGAGAGAATAGCACTGAAACGTGTATATTATCATATGTGAAACAGATCGCCAGTCCAGGTTCGATGCATGAGACCGGGTGCTCAGGGCTGATGCACTGGGATGACCCTGAGGGAAGGGATGGGGAGGGAGGTGGGAGGGGGATTTAGGATGGGGAACACATGTACACCCATGGCTGATTCATATCAATGTATGGCAAAAAACACTACAATATTATAAAGTAATTAGCCTCCAATTAAAATAAATTAATTAATAAATCAACATTCAAAGAACTAAAGAGAAAAAAATTTCCCTCTCAGATAATTGTACTGACCTGTTAGATCCAAATGCTGTTTTCTTCTAACTGTATTTCCTGTGTTTCTCCAGCTTTGGCCCATGTCACTGTTTTCTGCTTCCTTTCCAAACTCACTCAATTAGAGCTAAGTCTTTCTCTTCACCCCAGAAAAATCCCCAACTCCATTATTCAGAAGTCTTTAGAAGAGCTGACCTCATGGGTGCTCCTGGGTTGTTCCCTCTGGACCTTGCCTCTGGCCGTCTGCTCTAGTCACCAAGATGCGGCTGCTAATCCTGCTGAGCTCAACAATCCCACCCTCATCCTGCTGGGTACCACACCTCCATGGGGTGCAATCAGTGATTGCTTCTCTTGCTATTCACAGGACAGCTCAGGCCAGGCTATGACTTCGTACAGGACTCCACTGAAGGATAATCCCTTGAGTAACAGAAATGCCCGTCTTAGGACTCACAGGCCCAAGCCCGACTCTGGCCAAGGCACCAGCAGGCTTCTGCAAAGGGGGAGAGGGGTGGGCCAGGATTCAGGCTGAATTCCCTGACAAGAAGAATTGATGCTATTATCCACTGCCTCTGAGCTCTCTGTTCTGTGAAAATGGAACTGGGTCTTTTAAGTAGTTTTCCTTTGCCTGTGGTCCTATGTTCAGCTTTGCCAGTTGGGGACAGTAGAGAAAGATTGTTGTTGTTATTCAGTCGTCAAGTTGTGTCTGACTGTTTGCAAGCCCATGGACTGCAGAACACCAGGCTTCCCTGTCCCTCACCTCTCCCAGAGTTTGCCCAAGTTCATGTCTGTTGAATCGGTAATGCCATCCAACCAGTGATGCCATCCCTTCATGGATCACTGCCTTGTCGTGGTGAAGGGACTTCCGTAACTCAGTGAAGATATGAGTTGTGATGTGCAGGGCCACCCAGGACAGACGGGTCATAGTGGAAAGTTCTGACAAAACGTGATCCACTGGAGGAGGGAATGCAAACTACCCCAGTATACTTGCCATGAGAACCCCATGAACTGGATAAAAAGGCAAAAAGAGAGAGACTGCAGGAGGTAAGGGTTTTGTTCCCTGGTTCTGGTGTGTCTGGCATACTTTTGAGGAATCGTGCTCCTACAGAAGGGGTGCACACTTTCTAGGTTCCTATCACACACCTGGCTTCCCCAGCACCCAACAGTACCCGGCAATTAGCAACTTCCCTGGCATCCCCTTCAGGTGTCATTCCATTGAGATACTTCCCCACAAACAGCTGTCTCTGGCACTAGAGGGTAGATTTCCAGAAAGTTCTAGAGGACAGATCACTAGCAAGTTCCACTGGCACAGTCCGCTAATAACTTCCCTGCATCTAGTAAGCCATTAACATGCTCTCTTCAATAAAGTTTGGATCACAGCCCTGGGGTGGGAAGAAAGTGCAGGGGGCTCTTCCTTAGGCCCTCTAGGGGTAATGGCAAGTTGTTGTTCAAAGTTGCTCAGTCGTGTCTGATTCTTTGCGACCCCATGGATTGCAGTATGCCAGGCTTCCCTGTCCTTCACCATCTCAAACTCATGAGCTTGAGCCAAACTCATGTTTGCCTCAAACTCATGTCCATTGAGTCGGTGATGCCATCCAACCATCTTGTCCTCGGTTGTCCCCTTCTCCACCTGCCTTCAATTTTTCCCAGCATCAGGATCTTTTCTAATGAATTGGCTCTTCGCATCAGGTAGCCAAAGTATTGGAGCTTCAGCTTCAACCTCAGTCCTTCCAATGAATATCCAGGATTGATTTCCTTTAGGACTGACTGATTTGACCTCCTTGCAGTCCAAGGGACTTAATGGCAAGTTAAGTTGTGTTATATTGTTGGGCTTCCCTCATGGCTCAGAGGGTAAAGAATCTGCCTGCAGTTCAGACCCGGATTCAATCCCTGGGTCGGGAAGATCCCCTGGAGAAGGGCATTACAACCCACTCCAGTATTCTTACCTAGAGAATTTCATGGACAGAGGAGCCTGACGGGCTATATGGAATGAATTGTTTCTTTTGCCTCCAAATTCATGCACTGAAATCAACTCTGCCTCTGTCTAAGCCCATGTGATCACCCCCAGGCACCTGAAAACACCAAGGGATGAGGGTGAGCGTGGGGTGGGAGTTCTGATCTGGGAAAGCCCGACTGCTAGAGGCAAGCCCTTGCTTCTTGAATTCTCCACCCCAAGTGTTGGTCCCATGTTGCACAGTGCAGAAAAGAGGAAGGAGGGAATAGAATTGACACCAGCAGCCGGAAAAGAAGACCATGGAAGTTCATGGTGTATCTCATGCAAATGCTTTCCTTGCCCCTTCTCACAGTTAGTTTCCTTGAGTGACTGACCTTGCAGTACCCTATTTGCATCCCCTCGGCTCATCAATAGCTCCATGTGTGGCACCAGGACCCCCTTAAGTTCCTGCAGCATCATCCCCTGCTTGTCTGCCTCTGGGCTTTCTCTGAAGCTGTAGAAGTCTGTTCAGCTTGTGCAGACAGGTGTACTCTAGAGGTGGAGGGAGTTAATGCCCCTGAGATGCAGCCACTGGGAGATGAGAGTTGGGTGGATAAGTATCCCAGCCTCTGTCCTTCAGTGAGATGGTTTGGGGAAATATTCTACACAGTGCTTCAGAGGATCCCTAACAAGATTGAACCTCAGTTGCCCACAGTGGTAATTAGCTCAGGATGCACCCTTTATTGCTCTGCTCACTCACTTCAGACCCTCATTCTTACTTTGTGAGATCATCTCCCAAATATACCACCTGCAGCCAAGTCCTTACCTCAAGCTCTGCTTTTGGGAGAAGCTAAACTAAGGTAGGCATGCACACACCCCGACCATGGGAGGAAAAAGCCTTGTCTAACCAGAGTGGCAATAACAGACTGGAGGCTTGATAGCTTTCTTTTTACTTCTCTTTGGTCATCTCTTCATAATCTCAAAACCATTTTACATCCATGGCCCTGCAGGGCATTGGAAATGGTTCAGAGCTAGAGGAATTACCTCATATTCTCGATGACAGAACCAGGGTTCAAAAAGATCTTGACTGGCTGAAGCAATGGGGCTGCCATCAATAGAAAGCAATTTAAAAGAAACAAGTGCTATGGTAAAGTTGAAAAAAAAATCGATTGTTTATGTACTGAACATGATAGTCACTAATGTGAAATGAAATATGGGGTTTTTCATTGATCACAATCTCCCTGTGAGTCAATACTTGAAAAAAAAAAAAGAAGCAATATGGGACACTGTTGACAGGAGCATCTCGATCAGAGGTTAACAAGCCTCTACTTCAGCTGACTGGCTCACCACCACCAAGCCCAAGTCCTGGACTTTCTGCTGATTGGCCAGCATATCACACACCTCTCAGGAGCCTTTTTCCATCCACTTAGCCTCACCTGTCTTAAGACTTATGCCAGTCCAGCCTTGACAGTGGCAGCTAGCTCTATGTCAGTTTAGCCAACAGTGTCTTTGATCTGCTGTTGCCCTTGCTTTTTTCCCTGTTGCTATTGAAGCATAGGATGCTGTGGGATTGCCTGAGCATACGCACAGCATGGATGTATAAGAGAGTTAACACCCAGTGGGGCCAGACATTAGTCAGTGGTGGGCAGGGCCAGCAGGTACTTCCTTCCTGCTTCCTTCCTCCAGTAGACGTTCCTGAGTATCAGTGGTTTATGTGGCCTCTTGGAAGGTAGAGACCAAGAAATCCAATGTCCAAATCTTCTGTGGGAAAGGATGTTGACTCTCTCCCTCCACTTCCTGCCCCCTAGATCACACTTCTGAATAAAGTTCTCGCATGGAAGCCTTTGCCCCAGGTTCTATTTTGTGGGGAATCTAGACTAACACCTGTTGTCTGAACCGATCCCAGGGGCCAGAGGAGCACGCTTGTTCATTGGCTAAGATGTGGAGGGTCTGATGTAATCACCGTCAGAAGCGTAAGAGGCTCTGCCTGATGTGAGAGGGTTAGGATGCACCCAAGGAAGACCATCCATAAGGTCTGCAAAGCAGATGAGGGCTGTGTGTCTCTGGCCCCAGCAATGCATGTTCATTTTAGGTCTTTAAACTGTCCCACTTCCAGTTCTGCGGGGTTGCTTCTTCTCACAATTTCTGATACATAATAAGTGCCTTTCAAAAGCAGAAGTGATGGTACAAGTCAGATTTAGCATCTTGCGTTTGGTTCATCCTTGTTTTCACAACTTACAGCAGTGATGCAGTCACAGCCTTAGAGAAGCGTTAGGTCATTTTTCTTTAAAGGAAATTTGGCTGCGATTCTGCATCCCTCTGGATTGGGGCAGAGTTCTTTCTCAGTGATTACTGAGACTTCCAGCCCATATCCAGGTATAGCTGGAGAAATCCCACACAGAGAAAAATATGTGGGGAAACTGTAGGTCTTTTTGTAAAAGGTATTTATTTGGCTGTGCCGGGTCTTAGTTGTGGCACACGAAATCTTTGTTGCAGCATCTTTAGTCGAGGCATGTGGACACTTAGTTGTGGGATGTGGGATCTAGTTTCCCGACCAGAGATCGAACCCAGATCCCCTGCATTGGGAGCACAGAGTCTTAGCCACTGGACCACCAGGGAAGTCCCTAACCTGTAGGCCTTAGTTCTTTGCCTTTACTGTTCCCATTTGTTCAGGCTGTGTTGTATCACATTTCAGCCTGAGTCTTCCTGAATCTGGGGCCCGTACTCAGAGTCTCCTCTGGTGCTGAGACGGCAGCTCCACACCCCCTCTTTCTCTGTGGGGAACCTCACAGCATCCTCTCCTTAGCGTCGTGGCGACGCTAGTCTTCATCTGTTCTGTGGCCTCCTCCTCCCTGTGGTTCTCCTGTCACAACACAGAAGTACTACTGAGTTCTCTGTCTTACCTGAGGTCTCCCCAGCAGAGTTTCCTCAGAGCCTTTTCTTGAGGTGGAAAGTCACTAATTGGTAGTCTGCCGCCTAAGTCCTGCCCATGACTCTGTTTTATTGTTTTATTCCCAGTGTTTTGCAAAAGAGGGAATTGCAGGTGCAGATGCAGGTATCTGGCTTTTCTGGAAAAGTCAGAATATTTGTCCCTGCTGGCTGCTGATTCCCTCATCACAAGTTGGCTGGGGTGGTTCAGATGGGGCATGTGACCTATGGCTTCACCTCAGTCTTTGCAGGCATTTTGGTATCAGTGTTAATTTCTTTGATTTGATAAATATTTGTTGAGCACATTTTCTGTATCAGACCTTGTTCTCGGCATTGGGGATACAGAAAGGACAACATGGACCAAGGACCCTATTTTGATGAAACGCATATCTTGATGGAAGAGACATAATTTTTAAAAGCAGATACACTAATATTTAAGGTGTCAGGTGGTGGTAGCTGCTGTGAAGAACATAAAGCAGGAAGAGGGTTGTAGAAGATAGTGAGCCGAAGGGTGGGGACAAGTGTGTTGCCATTTTTTGTAAGCTGTTCCTGGAAGGTCTGTTTTCAGTAACATTTAGGCAATGAGGGGTTTCACAAAGCCAAGAAGAGAAAGTTTGTCTTCACGCTGCTCCTTTAAAGCCTGGGAGGTAAGGGACTAAGGAAGACCTGGAAGGCAAGGAAGTTTTGGAACCAAAATCACTGCAGATGGTGATTGCAGCCATGAAATTAAAAGACGCTTGCTCCTTGGAAGGAAAGTTATGACCAACCTATACAGCATATTAAAAAGCAGAGACATTACTTTGCCAACAAAGGTCTGTCTAGTCAAGGCTATGTTTTTTCCAGTGGTCACATATGGATGTGAGAGTTGGACTGTGGAGAAAGCTGAGCGCCGAAAAATTGATGCTTTTGAACTGTGGTGCTGGAGAAGACTCTTGAGAGTCCCTTGGACTGCAAGGAGATCCAACCAGTCCATCCTGAAGGAGATCAGTCCTGGGTGTTCATTGGAAGGACTGATGCTGAAGCTGAAACTCCAATACTTTGGCCACTTCATGCAAAGAGTTGACTCATTGGAAAAGACCCTGATGCTGGGAGGGATTGGGGGCAGGAGGAGAAGGGGACGACAGGGTATGAGATGGCTGGATGGCATCACCGACTCGATGGACATGAGTTCCAACTCCGGGAATTGGTGATGGACAGGGAGGCCTGGCGTGCTGTGATTCATGGGGTCGCAAAGAGTCGGACATGACTGAGCAACTGAACTGAACTGAACTGAAGATAACAGAGGTCAACCCTCAAAGAGTTCTCACCTGTCCTTATTTTTGCATCCTTGCAGAAGCTAAAGATGAATTGATATCTTAATAAATTTTCCATCCTACTCTTATATTTAAAAAAGCTTCATTGAAGTACAGTTGGTTTACAGTATTGTGTTAATTTCTGCTGTATAGCAAAGTGACTCAGTTATACCTACATATATTCCTTTTTGTATTCTTTTCTATTATGGTTTGTCACTAGATATTGAATGTAGTTTCCTGTGCCATACTGTAGGATCCTGTTGTTTATCCATCCTATCTGTAACAGTTTGGCTCTGCTAATCCCAAACTCCCAAGCCTTCCCACCCCCATCCAGCTCTTGGCAACCACAAGTCTTTTCTCTATGTCTGTGAGTCTTTTTTGTTTCAGATACATTCATTTGTATCATGTTTTAGATTCCACATATAAGTGATATCATATAGTATTTGTCTTTCTCTGTCTGACTTACTTTCAATCATCTCTGGGTCCATGCATGTTGCTACAAATAGCCTTATTTCATTCTTTTTATGGCTGGGTGATATTAAACATTTATAAGAGATAAGGCTAAATTTCAAATATGGTATTTACCCTCCATGGAGTGAATAAATCCTTTTTCATTTTCTTTGGAGGGGTGAGTTGGACTTTCTGCTTTAGTCACAGGCGTCACAGAACGAGCTTTGCTCATTTAGTCGTTGTATGAGGGTGTGGGGTATGCCTTTGGCTTCTTTTCTTGGGTTATGATCACAGCTAGTGTTAAACTACTGCATGCTGCCTGATCATACACAAGGATTTGGTCATCCACATAAACATGATGCTGTTGTGAGTTCACTTTTCTATTTAGAGAAACATGTCAGCTAGAAATACCTCCACCTTATTACCCAGACGCATGCGTGCCGAGCAAGTCTCCAAAATAGCCCTTTGAGTAACTGGCAGCTTTAAAAACCATCCAGCCGCCGACTACAAACCAGAAGGTCAGCAGAGGAGAGTGGAGGTTGGATTCTGAACGGTCAAGGTGCCCACAGGAGTTTAGTAGGAGTCAGGATTTTGGAGACTTGAACAGCCAGACAGCGGCTTCTCCTTGGATTTCTTGCCTGTTCTTGGTCTTTTCTCTTCAGATTTCACGATGAATGTGCAGGCTTGCTCTAGGTGTGGGTACGGAGTGTACCCTGCTGAGAAGATCAACTGTCTTGACCAGGTCAGTAGACATTTCTTTGCCTTTGCAGATTGTCACAAACTTGGGAAATATATCTTATCACATATGGACATGTGGGTTTTTTTGAGCCACCAAGATATGATGTTTTCCCCACTTTTCTTTAGTTCTACCCATTTCTAGCTACATCTCCTATATTGTCTCAAAAAAAAAAATTGTGAGTTTTATCACCATTTTATCCCTAAAGCTCATTTTTTTTTTTTTGCCCAGAAATATATAAGATTCCTGAGAACGAAAGAAAAGGTAATTTTGCTCAATCTTTTCTATTTGGTTTCTAGATATGGCACAAAGCTTGTTTTCACTGTGAAGTTTGCAAGATGATGCTATCGGTGAATAACTTTGTGAGTCACCAGAAAAAGCCATACTGTCATGCGTAAGTGTTTGATGCCCCTCCCCACCACCTCTTGAATTATATTTGTTTTTTTTTTAAGTAAGTAATCAATCAGAGGTTCAAATCGCACACTCCAGGGTTATATCCAAGAACCCAAGAAATGTCTTCTCAAAAATTTTTACTTACATACAGTCATTAAAGAGATCTGACACAGGATTTTATGCAATGGACAGAAAGTGGAAAATTTCAAATTTCTTACAAGTGAAACACAAAATCTATCCGCTATAACCCCATGTCAAATTATTAAAGATTGTGCAGAATAGTGTAATTGCTGTGGATATACAGAAAGCTTTAAAATGTTTTCTTTTAAATAATTTCAGGTAAATAATTTCCAGTTAAATTTGGTGTTTATGTTAAATAGGTTGAATTTATTTGATTTGATTTTCTTTCTTTATGCCTCATTGCCTGGAAACTCTTGAATTTAATTATTATGTCATATTTTTTTGATGTAAAAAGTGACTCTTCCTTTAAGAATAGTCACTCAGTCATCTTGGATAAAGTACATTTCTAATTCTGATTTATATCTACTTTTTGTAGCCATAACCCCAAGAACAACACTTTTACAAGTGTCTATTACACTCCATTAAATCTAAATGTGAGGAAACCTCCAGAGGCCATTTGTGGGGTAAGTTACTTAATTTTGAATTTCAAAATAGTGTTTAAAGAAATTTTCTTAGCTCAGGCACTTCTTAGATTTTTAAGTGTCTTTGTAAATATGGAGAAAATGGGCAAGTTCACATCTAGGCAGAAAATGGGCAGGTTTATACCTAGGCATCTTTGAGTAACAAATATTGTTGTTTGTCCTGCCACAACATAGAGGCCCATACTGGATAATCCAGCTTGAATATCTGAGGATCTTGTATCCGTTTTAATCTCCTTGTGCCTGTCAGCTCTGTACACATTGATACAGGAGGCCATGCATACACCAGGTGCTTAATACATAAAACAAAGTTCATATAGTTGGAAAATATTACAAAGCCCTTTCTTTCCCCATTATATTTGGGTACAAACATGGAAACCTCTAGTTCCACACTATTAAATCTCTCTGCATTCAGTAGTGTTTAAGATCTCTTTCCCCATGGGTAGGGGTAGGTCAGAGATATTCTGATCTGTAACTGATGTTTCGGTAGACCAGGAGGCCATACTGATCAACCAACCTGTTTTGAAAAACTAACAGTAGAGTTTTGTCCGATAACTATTGATTGAACACCTGCATTTATTAAAATGATGAATCATTTCACTTGCCTCCCCCAGGCTTCATAGCAAGTTGTTTTATGGGGTGGAACTAGCAGCTTTCTAAAATTAGAGAATGACACAAGAGGTGGAAGGCTGTCTAGTAATCTGCCTTCCTCATGTTACCTCACCCTGTCCTGACTCTCCTGCCTGCCCAGGCCACGTCCTCCTCAAGAAGATGGTTTAGGTTGAGCTTATCCTTACCATGACTTTCTATACATAACTGCCAACTAGCTTATTTCACTAAGTGCTTTGCTCCAATTGTGAGTTTATTATTTTTTTTTTAACAAGCTTAGGTAACATTTACAGTGTAATTGCTTAACTAACACATTACAATCCAATAAAGTAAATACTATTATTATCCCATTCTACTGGTGAGGTAACTGAGGCTTGGAGAGTTGTTCATATATCTATCGTTGACTTCTAACAGTTGAGAAGCCTGAAGAATTCATGAGCCATTGATTACACAGAAGGCCGATTCTTTTAGGATTTTGCTTTCACAAATCCTTTTTGTTTTTGCTTCTTTGTGTGGGTTTTGTTGTTTGTTTTTGTCTCTTAACATCTCACACAAAATTGACAGTACTGAATTTAACTCTCAGTTCGACAGAGTGCCAGACACTTTGCAACGCCCTTTATCTGTATAATCTCACTTATTCTTCACAAAAACCCTCTGCAGTATTATATTACAGTTGGGGAGGCTGAAGCTCACAGAAGTTAAGTAACTTACCCAGTTTTACCAGGCCTGTTGTATGGGTACAAATCCAGACCTCTATTGCTCTAGGACCCATATCCTAAGCTGCTCAGTCAGCCTATTCCCATGTACTTAGGTGTGACAAACTATCCAGAAGGAAAAAAAAGCACTTGTTTATGTTTACAAACATCCAGATATTTCAGCAACTCTGGGGCCAGAGTTTGCCCACAGATTGAATACAAGGTGTACTTATATATCAGAATATTGTTTGTATTTGTCACAAAAAGATCCATAATATCTCTATCTTCCACCCTCAGTGAGGTATCAACTGGCATGCCCCCCTTACAAAATCTTACAACAGATCAGGCAATACTTACCTTCCTTTGAAGTGGTGGTGAAATCAGTTTTTTGTAACTTGTATGACAGGCCGGACCTGTAGCGAGATTATCGCTCATTCTGTTTCCAGCCACAGGCAATGACGTGAGCTTCCCAGGAAGCCTGAGTGTGTGTGTTAGTTTGGATCTATGTGAATATGTGTGTATGTGTGTAAATATGTGTGTTTGCATATGGGGAGTGTATGTATGTGTGTATGTAGGTGTAATTGTGTGTGCATGTGTATACGTGTGTGTATACACATTGTATATACATGTGCGAACATATATGAATGTGTATATACATGCCTGTGTGCACATTTGTGTATGTGTATTGTATGTGTATATGTGTATATGTGTGTTATCTCTGTGTGTATATGGTGGATTTGTGTTTACATGCATGTGTATATACTTGCATATGTGTGTACATGCATATGCATGCATGTGTGTACACACACGTGTGTCTGTGTATGTATGCATATATGTGTATACATGTGCATGTGTGTGTGTGTGTGTGTGTACAGAACAGCTGACTGCTGAGACCCCTTTCTCCTCCTTTCCCACCAGGGGAAAAATCAAGTGGACACTCGTGTCCCTTCTAGACCCCAGATCTTACAACCCCTCTGGGGAATGTTGTGGATTGCATTCTTACTTCCTTTTCTTCTCTGGGAGACTTTGCCAACTGAATAAAAAACAGATTCATAGTGCATGTGCTAAAATTAAAAAAGGAAAGAAAGGGATTCTTCAGTTACAGCGATGAAGGTGAAATGGCATTTGAAGCTGTCAACATTTTTCTGTTTTTTTTAAAATGTCACTCTTCAAAAAATAAATGCATAAATAAATATTTACTAAGACAGAATTTCCTGTTTGGTAGGTGTGAATGGAACTTTTAGCAGAATAGAACATCTAGATTCTCTTCTATTCAGAGAATGAACTTTAGCCCTTAATGCTGCCTTACTCCACAAATAACATTTATGGCTTTTTTCCTCTTCCTATTTCCTCCGAATAGTCATGAGCCCTGTGAGAGGTCTCTACGGAGGCAGGCACCCCCCTTGCTGCCTGTACTGTGGGAGAAGGGCAGAAAATACAGATTCCTGTGTACTTTGGTCACGTGATTCTGATTCCTTTAGTCAGTGGCTCTAAAGGAGGGCGGTTTTGCGCCCTAGTGGATATTTGGTGATGTCTGAGGGATTTTTTCTGGTCAAAACTGGGAAGGTAAGAATACCGGTGGCATCTGGTGGATAGAGACCACCCATCTTGCTCAGCATCCTGCCATGAGCTAGACAGGCTGCCCCCAACAAGAAATGAACTGGCCCCAAATGTCAGAGGAGCTGCTTACAAGAAACTTTGCCGTGAGTTTATGTAGTGTTCAAGGTAATTTCTCAATAGCCAAGAGAAAAGGCATATAAAGATTTCTCAACTTATGTACTTAAAAATATACATGTTAGTGCTGCATTAAACAAGCCCAGACAAAGTGCCCTTGACAGGGAACTGGAATTCCCGGGTTCTCAACCTGGCCTTGCTAACTTGCTGAATGATTTCAATAAGTTTACTTCTCTTCTCTGAGCTTCTTTCCTCATCTGTAAAATTAATGATTTAAATTTCAACTTGTTTAAGTTGCAGATTTCTGGGCTCCATCTTGGATCTCAAACATTATATCTGGGTTTGAACCTAAGCCCCGTTATTTTCCTTTGTGGTTAGTTCTTCTTATGTTCTCCTTAAGAAATCTTTGCCTCTTCCAAAGTCATGAAGATGTGGTTAGACGTCAGTTCTCTTCAAATTGATCAACGCATTCAATGCAGTCCCAGCCAAAACTCTGGTGTTTTTCATAAAAATTGACAAACTGATTCTAAAATTGATGTGAATATACAGCGATTCTAGAATGGCCAAGAAACCTTGAAGAACAAAATCAAAGGACTTAGGTTATCAGGTTTCTAGGCTCCTCTGTCCATGAAATTCTCCAGGCAAGAATACTGAAGTGGGTTGCCATTCCCTTCTCCAGAGGATCTTTCCCACCCATGGATCGAACCCAGGTCTCCTACATTGCAGGTGGATTCTTTATCATCTGAACCACCAGGGTGCCTCTTGTAGTTGTTAACTCAGTGGAATAATATTGGCATAAGAATTGACAGGTCAGTGGAAAACGATACAAGTTTCAGAAATAGAGCTGCACATATGTGGTCACCTGAGTTACAGCAAAGGCACCACTGCAATTCAGTGTAGCAAGAATCATCTTTAAATAAATGGTACCCGAGTGACTGGACACTTACATAGAAGAAACAAACCTTGATACCTACCTCATATCTGTACATAAACATTAATACAAGGTGTGTTATGGATCAAGATGTGAAAGGTGGAATCGTAAAGCATAGCAGAACACCTGCATGAATTTGAGGAGCCAGCATTTAACAAGTTCCCTGAGTGTTGCACAGGCTAGTTAGGAACCACTGCTCTCATGTCTAGTGTTTTAAGCTGAATACTTGGTGCTGGGCCATAAGCTTGTAGAGACACTGTCTTTTTATTTGCACTGCAAAATAGAGCTTTTCACACAGTAGGTGCTAGCCACGTGCCACTTGGCTGGTGGTAAAGATGAAGCCAGTGGTGACACTTGTCACCACAGTGTGGCTTGTAGTACAGTTAAGATGCTCTGCAGTTGAGACTTAGGATCCGCTCCCCCTCCCAATTTAGTTCAATATTATTTGTTACCTTTCTCGTGTCTGATGGAAGCATTACTGACAACATCTTCATTGTGCAGATCGATGGCCAAGAGGATGGTGAACGGTTTAAGTCAGTTTTTCACTGGGACATGAAATCCAAGGATGAGGCCACTGCACCTAACAGGCAACCACTGGTGGATGAGGTGAGGCGAGAGTTATAAACAGGTTTGGAAGCAGAGAGAAGAATGACACGTTGTGCAGATGACATGTGTAGTCAGCATTACTTCTAGAGGGAATTGGTTAAGCTTTCTTTTATCCATCTTGTCATTCCAGTGGTCTACAGAAGACCTCCATGGTCTGTTTCCCACATTCTCACAATACTTGCTATTACCAGACAAAAGTTTTGACAACCTGTAGCTTGGTTTTTTCTATTTAAACTTTCCTGATTGCGAGTCTAGTTGAGCGTATTTTCATTCATGAATGATCTGACTTTTCAGATCGCCAAAGGATGGTTCTACCCAAACTGTCCAATCTGCCGTACCTCCAGCCCACTTGGCTCCCTATCTCTTTCCCCCAATTCCAGTGAAATCCACTTCCTCATGGTCTTTCACACGAAGTCTATCATTGCCTTCATGCTTTTATTCATGGCAGTCCCCACTCTTAGAATTTATCCAACATGTGGTTTTTTTTTTCTTTTTTAAAGTCAGCATGTATTTATTGAGTATTATATGCCAGGCACTATTCCAGGCTGCTGGAATACTTCAATGCACAAAACAGACAAAAATCTCTGCCTTCATGGAACAGACCTCCTTGAGCAGATGCTTTTTCTTGTCCCATTGCATCGTCTGGTAACTGACCTCATCCCTGGAGGTCCAGCTCAAATTCCTGTCCAAATCAGGGGCCCTCACATGGAGATTGCTTTTTCAAAACTCTCACTGTGTTTATCTTCAATACAGTACATTTAAGCACCAAGCATTTTCTAATCGCTAATTGTTTCATGTGTTAGTTTTATCTCCCTAGATAAACCACACATATCTTAAAAGAGGAACTTTGTCTTCTTTTTTTTCTTTTTTGATTTTCTTATCCTAGTGTTAATTGCTTAATCTAGCACTTGGCACACAACAGGTAGCAGGATTTTGAAGCTTGGCTGAATAATGCTGATTAATCTCAGATGGCCTGTCCACAGCAACTCCCTGCTGCCCCATTTTGGTGCAATAATGAGCCAAAAAAATGTTAAGTTACATTTGGAACTGCTATGATATCAGTCAGTCTCCGAAAGTTTTGGTTATTTAGGAGATTAGGTTATTTTCTAGTTTGAAAAAAATGAACATTCTGGTTAGCTGAGACCTGCCATGTATTAGGAGGAGTTTATCATTTTTAGAGAATTTCTGTCTTTTCTATCTTATGTTGACAATATAGGTGAGCATTGCCGGGAGGGTGGGGTAGGTAGGATGATCTTACCAAGCAAGTATGTGGGCTGTGTGTTTGTACGCATTTGTGTTTTTCCTCTCCAGAGAGCCTATTGGAGTGGATACAGGGAAGGGAATGCCTGGTGCCCAGGATCTCTGCCAGACCCTGAAATCGTGAGGATGGTGGAGGCACGAAAGTCACTGGGTGAGGTAAGGGCCCTAGAAAATTACTTTAGCAGTTAGCTTGAATGTTCATTAAGATTGTGATAGAATACTGGCCCTCTCCCAAACATTCCCATGTCCTAGTCCCTGGAACCTATGAATATGCTACTATGCATGGCCAAAGATATGATGAAGGTAGGGATTTTTTTAACTGAAGTATAACTGATTTGCTTCCCAGGTAGCTCAGTGGTAAAGAATCTGCCTGTCAATGCAGGAGAGGCTGGAGACACGGGAGACATGGATTTGATCCTTGGGTTGGGAAGATCCCCTGGAGGAGGAAGTGGTAACCCACTGCAGTATTCTGGCCTGGAAAATCCCATGGACAGAGGAACCTGGTGGGCTATAGTCCATCGGGTTGCAAAGAGTTGGACATGACTGAACGATGGAACAAACATACATAAGTTGACTTACAGTGTTGTGTTAGTTTCTGATGTATAGCAGAGTGATTCAGTTATATGTATACATATATATGCACATATATTCTTTTTCATGTCCTTTTCCATTATAATTAATTACAAGATAATGAATATAGTTCCCTGTGCTATCCAATGGGACCTTGGTTTTTATTTTATACATGGTAGTTTGTATCTGCTAAACTCAAGTTCCTAATTAAGGTAAGGATCTTGAGATAGGAAGATTATCCTGGATGATTAACGGGGACCAAATGTGATCACAAGGGTGCTTATAAGGAGGGAGGCAGGAGAGTCAGAGTCAGAGAAAAGATGATGTGGCAACAGAAGCAGAGGTCAAAGCTGTCTGGGGCTGTAAACCAAGAACTGTGGACAGCCTCTTGAAGCTGGAAAAAGGCAAAGAAATGGATTTCCTACCAGAGCTTTCAGAACCAGCCCTGATGCCCTATTTTAGATTTTGGACCTGTCGCACCATAAGAGAGATCTTAGTAGGTTTTCATCCTAGGAAAGACAATTTTACCCAAGGTTATGGAATTCCTTAATGATCTGCATGCTATATCCTCTAGTTCTCTCCCTAAACCCAGGGCACCTGTCCTTTGAAGAAGCCACTTTGGAAAATATTGTTAGTCTTGAGTAACTTTGCTTTAGCACATGGAAAGAAAACAACTGAATCACAGTTGCTAAGGTGCTGTGTTTCGTTAGGAAAGCAGACTAGCAGAGATATTCAAAAGTAAGGAGGAGAAAAGAACAGATATTTCACTCCCAGCACTGTAGAAGTGTGTCTGGTGGTGGTTTAGTCATTAAGTCGTGTGCAAATATGCAACCCTATGGACTGTGGAACCCGCCATGGACTGTGGGCCCGTGGACTGAGGAGCCTGGCAGGCTTCTCTGTCCGTAAGGACTTTCCAGGCAAGAATAGTGGACTGCGTTGCCATTTTCGTCTTCAGGGGATCTTCCTGACCCAGGGATCTAATGTAGGTCCCCTGCACTGGAGGCAGATTCTTTATACCGACTGAGCTACCAGGGAAGTCCAGAGCTGTGTCTAGTGGGTGAGTTGCTGAAGGGTCTCCTGCATAATAATTGCTGCATTATATTACAAGCCTTTCAGTAAAGGGGCCTCCCTTGGGTTGTGCCAGGTTCCAAGAGTTTAATATAAACATTGAAGGGGAAACTCTTTGACCTGGGAAATATGATTTCTTCAGCCTTGAAGATTTTAATTTAAATCACCAAATGAATAATTTTCAAATTTATTCCAGAAGACCAAAATATTTTCCTAGTACCGTATACATCCAGTTGCATTGGTTCTGATGATGCTTGCTGTTGCAGTTTTATTCGTTCTCATTGGAGATCCTGTTGGTTCTCATGCTGACATTGGTCTGACCAACAGGAGTATCCAGAAGACTATGAGCAACAGAGAGGCAAAGGGAGTTTTCCAGCCATGATCACACCTGCTTATCAAAGGGCCAAGATCGCCAACCAGCTGGCCAGCCAAGTGAGTATCTTAGTGCTTACTTGCCATTGATTACACTAATTTTTGTCATTAGTGAATCCCTGGGATTCAGGTAAAATCCAACAGGAGAGCTCTTTGGGGGGCAGTAGGTACCCTGAGTATGATATTACAAAGAAGACTGTGTTCTTACCTTTTCTGTATCAGTCATTATCTATGCCCATGCCTCCTCTATCAATGGAGAGAAGGCCATGTTGTTCACCCCAAAACTGAACCAAATAATTTTTCGAGCTTAAGCATCAAGGACACTGATTTTTATTAAGAGGATGGCAGATCCTACTGAAGAACAGTATAGCTGGTTGATTTAGAGCTCAGATTCTGGAGCCAGCTATATTGGGATTTGAATCCTGGCTCTCTTGCTTCATAGCAATGGGACCCTGCACAAATTACTTAACCTCTCTGTTCCCCAGCTGCTCATCTGTAAAATGGGGAAAATCATAGTCCTGCCTCATGTGATTGTTATGGAGACAAAAGAATATTTGTTCAAGTTTAGCAGTTCCTGGTGCTCTCTTGGACTGAACACATGTGCATGCTTTTGGAGAGGAGCCCATAAAGCAAGCCAGAAAGACTTGCCATAGATTGCCTTAAGTCTTGCCGTAGATTGCCTTAAGTGTTGCCCAGTGGTGTAGCTTCAGCTCAGTCGCAGGGAGAGGTCCTACAAAGGCTGCTGGGTGTGACCTTGACTCCATGCTGTCTCCTCGCCAGGTGGAGTACAAGAGAGGGCATGATGAGCGCATCTCCAGGTTCAGCACGGTGGCGGATACCCCCGAGCTGCTCCGGGCCAAGGCTGGTGGACAGCTTCAAAGTGATGTAAGAAATGATAGAAGCTAGGGACTTCCCTGGCAGTCTAGTGGTTGGGACTCCACGCTTCCACTGCAGGGGGGCCTGGGTTCAATCCCTGGTCTGGGAACTAGGATCTCCCATACCATTTGTGTGTTAGTCGCTCAGTCATGTCTGACTCTTTGCGACCCCACAGATTGCCGCCTGCCAGGCTCCTCTTCCATGGAATGTCCCCAGGCAAGAATACTGGGGTGGGTTGCCATTCCCTTCGCCAGAGGATCTTCCCGACCCAGGGATTGAACCTGGGTCTCCCACATTGCAGGCAGATCCTTTACTGTCTGAGCTACCAGGGAAGTCTGTGGAATCCCATGCCATGTGCAGTGGCCAAAAAGAAAAGAAAGCAATGACCATGGTGGCCAGACACTGTGACTCTTCTTTAAGGTTCCCCACTCTTTCCTATCATGGAGAAGGGTGGTCAGGTCAGATTCAGCAGCTAGCACAGACCATGTGAAAACTCCTCCTTAGAAAAGTTTACATGGTATTAGTAACAAACTAGATATTTCTGATTAACCTGAAAGAATTCTCTCCTTGTCACTGCAAATTACAGAATAGAACTTCCAAAGAATTTGTACCATTTGCCTTTTCAATTCCAGTTGCTCCACAGCATAATAAGATGGAAAACTTAGTGTTGTTCTGATTGGGAAGTTTAAGCACGAATCCAGGTTCAGCTTAACGAGTGGCTTCCACTTGCCTTGGTTGGCCTGCACCAGGTGCTCACAAGTATGTGTTGAATTCTGCCTTGAGCATCTCCATGTATCAGACACTGAGTGCTGGGAATAAGATGGTAAATAAGGGTCCATCAAGCACTAAACTTACTACATTGCCTAAGAGATCTGATGGGAGATGTACAGGTGTTATGGGAGCCCTTAGCGGGACTTCTCACCCCGATTGCCTGGTAGATGGTGGGACTGCAGTATGTGATTCAAAATATTTCTTTTCCCAGGTGAGATACACAGAGGCCTATGAACAGCAGAGAGGGAAAGGCAGTTTTCCTGCTATGATCACACCTGCTTATCAGATAGCCAAAAGAGCCAACGAGCTGGCAAGTGATGTAAGTGTCCCGGGCAGTGTTGTCACGTGAGGGGAGGGGTCAGGAAGTTACCCAGACCTGGAGAGTCCAACTTCCTGCCTTCTTTTGTGCATACTGTGGATCCAAGAAGGAATGTTCCTTCAGAGTTTTCAGTCAGTTTTACTAGAACAATGATCTGGCACTTTTATGTCTAAGACACGCTCCCTAGACTCCAGCAGAAAAAGAACTTTCCATAGACATTCATTTTGACTCTTCTGACCCGTGTGCATGAGAGGCTCAATTTACCAGGTGTATCCTTCTCTCCCCTTCAAATAGGTGAGATACCATCAACAATATCACAGAGAAATGAAGGGAGTGGCTGGCCCTGCTGCTGGAGCGGAGGGCCCGTTGCCAAAGGAATACATGGACCAGTATGGCCAGGTATGTGATAAAGTGACTTCCTCGAAGACTAGCCTTTTGGAAGGTCAGGTCTCAGTTTGGCAACCCTCTAGCCTGTGACACAACCTGTGACAGTTTACTCAGGGATTGGGATATCGTTTATATTTGTCCTATTTATGGAAAGTGGATTTCAAAGCCGGAAAGTAGCAGGCAAACAATTACACAGGTTTCAACTTGACTCACTTAGGAAAACAAATTCTAAGTACTTTATCTTTCCTTTTAAAAAAAAAAAAAAACTAAAGGACCTATATCAGAATGGTGCATTTGCTAGGAATAAAGCATCCTCATCTATTCATTGAAGAAAAATCCTGAGGACTCAGACTAGCTGTGTTTAGCCTGTTACTACGTAGCAGTACCAAAGGGGTCAATGCATGTATTGAAAAATATTTCGCTGAGTAGCAGGATCCTTTTTCTTAGAAAGTGAATTTCTTATCTAGGTTGCCAGATAAAGCAATATGCCAGAGGGGGGAAAAAAAAGCATATTGCTTATGCCTTTTTTTATCAATTTCATTTCTTCAATGAACTACATCTTGACAGGATGTAAAAAGATTGAGTGACAATTACAAGCTAATTTTATTTGCATATTCCTCTGCATTTTCTGGTACTAGACAGCTGTTATAAGGGGACAATGGAACATTATTTTTTCGTGATTGTAACTAAAGAATGTTGGAAGATCAAATGTGTGTACTGAAAGAGTATGTTCAGTTGGGCTTAGTTGATATTTTTCTCTTAATTCGACAGTTGTTTAAATTTTTTGGCACCGAGTAGACTTTACAACACATGTGACTTATTCGATACATATAATTTATAAAAGGAAACAAATAACTGATTTCTCTTCTTCAGAAAACTGAGTTGCTTATATTGAGGGATATATTCATGTGAAACTTTAATTTTTTTTTAATTTTTAATTAGTTAACTAATTAATTTTACTTTATAACATTGTATTGGTTTTGCCATATATTGACATGAATCAGCCACAGGTGTACATGTGTTCCCCATCCTGAACCCCCTCCCACCTCCCTCCCCATCCCATCCCTCTGGGTCATCCCAGTGCACCAGCCCTGAGCACCCTGTCTCATGCATCCAACCTGGACTGGCGATTCGTTTCACATATGATAATATACATGTTTCATGTGAAACTTTCATGTGAAAACTTTCATGTGAAACATATGATAATATACATGTTTCATGTGAAACTTTAAATAAATATAAGTTTCGACCCCTTTGCAAATGTCTGTCTGAACACAAATGTTTGAATTTATAAGGCCATTTTATTAAATTCCACAATAATTGTTAGTCAGATGGTCTCTTAGTGCTTAAAGCTCAATGAGAATATTTTTTGTAATTGTATTTATTTATTTATTTTTGGTGGTGCTGGGTCTTTGTTGCTGTGCGGGCTTTTCTCTGGTTGCAGTGAGCGGGAGCTACTCTCTAGTTGCAGTGTGCAGGCTTCTCATTGCAATAGTCTCCTTTGTTGCGGAGCACAGGCTCTAGGATGCGCAGGCTTCGGCAGTTGTGACACGTGGACTCTAGAGCAAAGGTTCAATAGTTGTAATGCATGGGCTTACTTGCTCTGTGGCACGTGGGATCTTCCTGAATCAGGGATCAAATTCATGTCTCCTGCATTGACAGGCAGATTCCTTACCACTGAGCCCCTAGGGAAACCCCAAAATATGTTTTTATTGGTTTTGTGTTGTAAATATGTTGCTCAGATGCTCTGGACAACTTTTCAAAGTCAGTTTTAAAAATACTTGGCTTCTATATTCAGCAGAAAATATTTTGTTCTATATTTGGGCCATCCTATCTACCACTGTTATTACACACATATAATTTCTTATGTGTGTCTAGGCCTTTCTATACACAGTGATGAAATTTAACTTCCTAGTGCCAGAGTGGAGCCTTGGTTATTAGGGCATTTTGATTGAAGTTTCCAATCGTGATAATGGGCTTCCCAGGTGGCGCTACTGGTAAAGAATTCATCTGCCAATGCAGGAGATACAAGAGACATGGGTTTGATCTCTGGATTGGGAAGATCCCTTCGAGTAGGAAATGACACCTCAGTCCAGTGAACTCGCCTGGAAAATTTCATGGGCAGAGGAGCCTGATGGGCTATAGTCCATGAGACTGCAAAGAGTCTGATATGACTAAGCGACTGAGCACACAGCACATGGAATCATGATAATAACAAATACAAGAATCAAACTGAGTCTGGTTTGATAGCACCACCAGCAGCTGTCAGTCAAGAGGACTCCATCCTCTGTGGTGTTTCATTATGATTTACGTGACTCATCAGGGTGAGAATAGCAGGAAGTGAAAGAGAAACAGGCAGTCAGATGAACTATAAATATCTGTAATGCCTAAATGACAAAACAGTTCATTCTTTTTAATGCATATTTTTTAGGTTAATGGACTTTAGCATGTAATCTATTATTTGTAACCAGTCATCTTCCCAATAGGATTAAGTGTCTCAAAAAGATTTACATACTAAAAAAACAAGATTTACATACACAACATACATTCATATAAACAGAGACGTTAAAATAAAGCTACAAACCAACTCCAAATCATAATGCAGGAAGGGCAAAAGGAGGCTACCAAAAAATTTGAGTCTTTGTTATTATTATTTTTTTAGCTTAACTTTTTTCACTTACTACATGTGGCCCAAAACCTTCTGGCAACCGACCAAAAAGGAGCTCTTAGGCTAAGCAGTTGTCATTACTGGGTAGAAAGGAACCCTGGGCATTCTAACTGTTTCATATAAGAGAGTAGTGTGCCAGACTTGGAATGGTGTTTCTGGAGCCGGGCAGCCCCACCACAGTGGAGGCCAGAGTGAGATGGAGTCATGAGCCGAGGGAACACACGAAGGGTTGTTTCAGATCGGTGGGAGCACAGGTGAGGAAGCAGCCGGTTCTGCCTGGGGCAGGCCCGGGAGTGAGGGAGGAGTTCCCCGGAGAGAAGGTAGCATCTGATGGAGTTTTGAAGTACATCCGGTTCCTGATTGCCGGGGAAAGTGTACACCAGTGACGTGGGGCTTCCCAGGTGGTGCTAGTGGTAAAGAACCTGCCTGCCAATGCAGGAGATGTAAGAGCCTTGGATTCGATCCCTGGGTCGGGAAGATCCCATAGAGGCAGGCATGACAACCCATTCCAATACTCTTGCCTGGAGAATCCCATGGACAGAGGAGCCAGGTGGGCTAAGTCTGTAGGGTTGCAAAGAATTGGATGTCACTGAAGCAACTTAGAACAAACGTGAGGACATTTCCATGAGAAGGAAGGTTCTCCTTTATGGGAGTGGCAGGGTGATGTGGTGGGGAGGAAGGAAGAAATCAAGACTCAGATTGTAATACTTAGTTTGAAATATACATTTGGTCCCAGTTGAGATCATCTTATGGAAATTTGAAATCTTTTCCTCCAAATATCAAAAATTCAAATTGTTATATAACCTTCCTTTATTGGTAAATGAAATGAATCCATCGTTGGGGGAGGCAGTTTGTGAGATATCAGTGCCTCTCTGCATAGATCTGCCAGCAGGTCTGCGAACAGTAGCATTCAAGACCCTTGGAAAGCAGAGGGACTTTCCTGGTGTCCTTTAAGAAATGATTACCCTGTGCACCTAGGAGACTCATACAGTGTCTTAACTTATCTGATGGGAGCAATGATGCCAATGGTAGTCATTTCCATTTACTTAGTGCTGACCCCAGTAAGTGTGCTGGACAATAGTAGGTGGGTCTGCCTCCAGAGTCCACCAGCTCAATAATCACATGTACTGCTCTTAGGGGTGAACACAGGAGGGTTCAGTGTGGACAGGACTCCATGGGAACAGGAGGTGTAAGGACAAGAGATGTAGGAGAGGTCATTGCTAATCCCCTACGCATTCCAGTGATAGAGCATTGCTGTGAAAGTGTTTTAAAATTAGCTAATTATTTATTTGGCTGCACTGAGTCTTTGTTGCTTTGCTTTCTTTGTTGCTTTGCTTTCTCTGTTTGCAGTGAGCAGGGGCTACTCTCTGACTGTTGTGCATGAGCTTCTCAGAGCTTCTCATTGTGGCGGCTTCTCTTGTTGCAGAGCACAGGCTCTAGGGCACTTGAGCTTCGGTAGTTGCTGCACCCAGCCTCAGTAGTTGTGACATACAGACTTAGTTGCCCCTGCGGCATGTGGGATCCTAGGTCCCAGGCCAGGAATAGAACCCATGACCCCAGATTCTTAACTGGTGGACCACCAAGGAAGTACCCTGATTAAAATTTTCGATTGACCCAGCAGGGTTACTCAGAACAGTATGGTGAGCACAGAGGAAAGGGTAGCTTCCCGGCCATGATCACCCCAGCTTATCAGAACGCCAAGAAAGCCAACGAACTCGCTAGTGATGTAAGTAACCTCATTGCGACAACCCACAGAGCCACAGGAGCAGAGGAAAAATGAGACTTTGGAGGCTGTGCTTGCTGAAACCTATAGCCAGTTAAATTTTTCAGAGCTGAGTCAAAGCAGAATGTTAACCTTCAATTCCTAACCAAATTTCCGACATCTGCTTTTTGGGTTCATACAGTTAGGTCACATTTGTCTGCTTTAAAGCAGACTGACATGGACAAACCACATCACTTACTTGAGGTCAGCCGAAGCAAGTGCAGATACCAGTCCAGCCAAATAGGATGGAGTTAGGAGAGTCTTTGCAAAATAACCCACTTTAGAAATTGAGCACTCAAGAGGAATAGCTGCTTAAAATAAACAGTATGATTATCAAACTGGGTATAACCCAGTTGATAAAACAATTTTTATTTGTAGAATGTTAGCCAATTGGCCATCCTTGAAAGATAAGCTATCATTACACTTGGTAAAGTGACATGCACACTGCAGATCTTTCACCGTCTTGATCTTGATCAGTCAGAAGCCCAGCATTCATCTCATACCCCCTTTGCCCTTCTTTATTTTGTTCCTTCTCAGTTATTACCCATTTCCCTAGAAAAGTGCACTTTGTCCTGAGAGGGGAAATAAAGGACACATTCATCACTTGAGGCTGGATCAGAAATGGTTGTTAAAACCAAAGGCAGAATGGGTTTTTGGATGATACATCTAGGTATGATCATTTTGAGACCTTCATGCAGAACTAGAATGTAAAGTGTAAAAAATGTGAAAGGGGGCAGTAATATTTTAATCTAAAAGGGAGTGAGTGGTATAGGGACTTAGTGGAGGAAAAACCCATGTGATTTTTTTTTCCTCCAGAAACTTGTATGAAATAAATGTTGACATGAAATGTGGGGTAGATGTGGAGTGACTTCTCTCCTGGAGAAGGAAAACAACTCTGGTTGTTTGTGTGCTTCTTTCAGATAAAATACAGGCAGGACTTCAATAAGATGAAGGGCGCTGCACATTATCATTCCCTCCCAGCCCAGGACAACTTGGTTCTGAAGCGGGCTCAGAGTGTGAACAAGCTCGTGAGTGAGGTACGTAGGGGGACGGCCCCATCTGTGTGCTGTCACCGCCTTTGATTCCGACAGACAGTGAAGGGGTGACCCCAGAATGAAAAATTCTGTGTTAACGCCACATGAACTACACACGCATTTCCAGTTGCCAAAGAACGAACAGGTAGTCGTAACAGAGCCTAGAACCAAACTAATTAAATCTTCCTCTGATGGTTCAGAAGTTTCCTCCTGAAATTCTCACAGGGTTGTGGATATTCCAAAGTTCCCAGGAGTAGATTTCTAGTTGCCCGAATATTGGATGAGCCAACCTTTATAACCATATGTCATTCTTAAAGAGTGGAAATCAAAGATGAGGAGTGTTTTGAACATGGAACCTCCCTCATTGTCTTGTTTTTGTAGCCAGGTTTCCAAGAAGCTCTGTGTGCTGTGTGAATTCCCCTTGCCTTAGAGGCGGACCTGGCTGCCAGAGACTGTGTTTCGTTTGGCCTGCCAAGGGGTTAGGATTTTTAGAATTGCTAGGGCTGTTTGCAAGGTAATATCCCCTCTAGTTCCCCATATCCTTTTTATTGTTCTTGAGTTTCTTATAGCAGCTTCTTCTCTGTTGGCATCACCTATCAGGACCCTGAAGTCATTCGAGTTGTCAGCCTCTTGCCAGGCTCTGCATAGGACTCATCTAACAAGTTGTCTGAAACTCAAAAAAAGACACGCAAATATCCTAAAAGATTTTTCTTCTCTTTCCTGAGAGTCAGTCCTTTATTCCAAAAAGTGCCTTAGCCTGTGATGCTGCTCAGAATCACAAGAGTGTACATTTCCTGGGCATCATCAGAAACTTCAGATACTTAGAAATAGTGGATAGGTGCCTAGCCCTTGGAACCTGCATTTAAAAATAAAATTGTATATTTGGCTGTGCCAGGTTGTATTTGCTGCACATGGGATCTGGTTCCCTGACTAGGGATCGAACCCAGGCCCATTGCATTGGGAACGTGGAGGCTTAGCCATGGGACCACCAGGGAAGTCCAGAACCTGCGGTTTAAACAAAATATCCATATGATTCTTAGGCTCTAGGCCAGAGGTCAGCAAACTATGACCTGAGTAACAAATCTGGCCTGCAGCCTGTTTTTATAAATGAAGTCTTATTGAAATACATCGTATATCTGCTTTTGAATGATAAAGACAAAATTGATAAAGAAAAAATTGCACATCGGGTCACATAGAGTTGGACACAACTGAAGTGACTCAGCACACACACACACACACATACACACACACACACACACAAAACGTCCTGCCAAGACTCAAATGTTTACTATCTGCTCATTTATAGAAAAAGTTTGCTGAATCTTACGTTTTGACTCATGGAACATTAGATCTAGGTGGGGTATTTGTAGTCTTTTTTCCCTGGCTTTGTCATAGACCTGGAAAAGTCAAGTGTCTTGTTCTGGTTTCGATAGGCTTCTAGGGACAGAACTAGAACCAGACCCAGGAATAACACTGTTACCATTTTGGCCTTTTTCTATGTGAAAGTGTTAATTGCTCATTCGTGTCCAACTCTTTGCGACCCCATGGACTGTAGCTCGCCAGGCTCCCCCATTCCTGGAATTTTCCAGGCAAGAATATTGAAGTAGGTTGCCATTTCCTTCTCCAGGGATCTTTCTGACCCAAGGATCAAACCCAGATCTTTTGCATTACAGGCAGACTCTTTACCATCTTAGCCACAAGGGAAACCTTTTCTATGTGAATATACTATAAATAAGTATATGAATATAAAAACATATTTTCATAGAATTAGAATTCAATTGTGTGTACAGTTTTATATGCTTTTTTCATTTTATATCATATTATAAGCATTGTGATGCATCTTGCAAACTTTAAGAGGCATATTCCCACCAAATGTTTTATAAGTATGATAATAAATTGTATTTCCTTTGGTAAGCATCACAAGAGAACCTTCCATTTCTTTTTGCCCTTATGTTTATTTAGTAAGACAAACCAGCCCTGCCTCTATTAATGGTAACTAGCCTTCAGCTGCCTTCTCTAATTACCTGGAACGACTTGGATTCTATTATAACAATGACCTCACATCTTACATACAACTACCCAGAGGAGCTCAACTAGCCATTTAAAATTAGAAGGCACTCTGCGTTTATGTGTGGTCTCATTTATTATGCTCTTTTGTAAAGTAACTTTTTTGGTTAAATTCTACTGAAGTATATTTACAGAGAAGTGCATATAAGTGTTCAATAGGAAGAATTTCCACAAGTGGGCTCATCTTTGTAACAAGCAATCAGATCAAAAAACAGAACATGACCAGAAGTCCTGACATCCCCCCAGACACCTGTCCCCAGAAGTGACCACTTTCCTGATTTCTAAAACTATTTTGCTATTTTTTGAGCTATACTATATAAAAATCTTAAAGTATTTACTCTTAAAAGGGACTATATATTTTTTAATATTCAGAACCAAACTGATTATTTACTTATTCACTATTTGAAAGGAAAACATGTATTGTTGACCTACAGTAGCCTATGCCTGATATTTTAAAATCTTCGGTTGAAAGTTTTCTAAAAATATCCTAAGTTGAGCTCTGGTGACATTTTCAAGAGTGACTTCGGGTTTGGTTCTCTTGTGCATCTGGTGTTTTGGTTTCCAAGGTGGAGTATAAGAAGGATCTGGAAAGTAGTAAAGGTCATAGTATCAACTACTGTGAAACGCCTCAATTCAGGAATGTGTGCAAGATCTCAAAATTCACCAGTGATGTGAGTTTTTAATGCCTAAGCCTTTGTTTGGCCTTTTTTTTTTTTTTTTAATGACCTGAATTTCTTGGTCTCCTAAGAGAATGCATCTGAGTGTCTTGGAGAAGCATGGCTTCTTAGGCACAGATACTATGAGTGTTGATAGAGATTGCCTGCTGGGCTGGTCCATGGAGTGTTAAATCCCCAGCATGCACTTGACCCTGAGTCCTCAGGGTGGCATCTGCCCTCTTGCCTCCTTCATGTAAAACAGTATCCAGATCCTAGTGGCAAATGCTGGTGAGGAAGGCTAGCTGAGCATGCAGCATTCCCTCTCAACTTGACTCTGTGCTTCTTAAATCAGTACACAATCTCAGTTATCCTGCGCGGTCACCTGGGGGGCCAGGTGTTACTTCCCCATCTTACAGCTGAGCAGATGTATGCTGGCATGGCATTTGCAAATTTGGAAATTCTCCAGGTCTGGGGATGTATCCTTGAGAACATCAATGACTGGTTTATATGATTATACTTCTACTTATACTATAAAGTATGCTTATAGTAGTAAAATCTGAAATCACGTGGGACTTTGTAAGGCTCAGTAAGGAATTTTTTTTTTTGCTTACATGCCATAGTTGAGCACGCCAGCTTTGGAGCTGACGGGCCTCGTTCCATAATTGGCCAAGTGGCTGACTCTGGGCAAGTTGTTTAAGTTCATGGAGCCATTTTGCCTGTCTGTAAAATGGGGATGATAATAAATCCTTCCTCCTCATAGAGTGTTGGTGAAGATTAACTGAGATAAGTAGAACTGTATCTGAGGTAGAGTAATAGTATTCTGTTAAAATACTCTCAGTGCCTGGAAGCTCAGTGGCCTCCCAAGGTAGGTGATTTTAATGTAGCTTTACTAGAAAGTACTCAGATTTTTCTATTTATGACTTCTTGTCTTCTTGTTTTGTTCTTTGTGAGCTGCATTTGGGACATAATGTAGCTACTTAACGTGGTTGCGGTAGTAACCAATGTGTCATGTAAAAGGCGCAGAATTTGGCAAAGCTCAGGTTTTATTCTTCATGTATCTAGAAAGAGTGGTAATGGCATGCAGTGCCGGGGCCTGGGGCATGGGGTTGCATGCACCCCCTATATCATCAGTGCTTGTCCTGGGAAAGCTCCACATTCACGTGATAGGTTTTCACGTTGGAGAAATCTGGTATGTTTACAACTGAAAATGTTAAAAAAAAAAATCAGGTCTGTTTTGTGCTGTCTATGCGTCAGATCCTATGTTTGCTTGTATGCTTTGTTTTACCCCAACTTCTTGAATTCTAATTTTTTTTTTTTAGGTTTGTCTTATTTTTAATTCGCTGACCCACTGAATACATACATAGGCTCTATTTAATCATTTATGTGTTGGATTTAGCACATTAAGATGAGTCATTTGTCTTCCATGAGTTGGGGGAGGGAATGCTTTTGTTGAAGGTTTTGTGTTCCCGTGTAGAATAAATATAAAGAAAACTACCAGAACCGCATGAGAGGCCACTATGAAGGAGTTGGGATGGACAAACGGATGCTCCATGCTCTGAAGGTTGGAAGCCTGGCAAGCAATGTGAGTCCTGTTGTAAAGGGCCTGCGTGCCCTCGGGATCTCTTGGGGTGGAAGGAGAAAGGGCACGAGGAATTCAGCCAGTTCTTTTCCAACCTCCCTTTTAAAAAGTCAGTGTTTTGTTGTGTAAAGACTGACCTCAAAGAGTTTCTAAATGTTAATCAATACAACCAAGGCTAGGTAAAAAATCCTTGAAAATTTTCAAAAGCTTCCATGTATTAATCTCAGCTTTCTCTGCTTTGAAGAGTACTTGGATCTATTGTAATTGATCCAGTGTAACAAAAACTTTCAGTTTCTGAGAGATAAAGAGAAGTGGATGAGCATAATTCTCATTTGAAATGCTTCAGATTTCCAAAGCGTTTGTGATTTATTTGAAATTGATTGGTTGGTTGACTGATTTATTCATTCGTTCCACCTTAGTGTTCATTGTAGATTTCCTGTGTCCAGGCACTGCTCAAGACAGTGGGATAACAAGATAGATCAGGTCCCTCTTTTTGCTAAAGCATGTGATCTATTAATCTCTGGCTTTGTTCATTCGGTTTACACATTTGCAAATGCCAAATTGTACATCTTGGAAGTAAATGACACCAAGAAGAAGCTGATCTCATTATTAAAACATACACATGTCAAACTTAATCTGCCTGAGAAAGTCAAATTTGACCTTTAGAAAAAAATTTCAAGTACTCTGAAGACTCCTGAATTTTCATTTATTTTCTGGGCATTAGCCAAGAAGCTCTTTTATTGTATACTTGTATGCAAATGCTTCTTCTTTACAAAAAAATCTACAAGGGACTCCATGATTAATAAGAAAGATAAAACAAATGTGTTACAGATGAAGTTAGCTAATTTTGGGTTAATTAAGAAGAATTCAAATTAATTAAAGGCAAAAGTACGAATGTAATTTAATTTTCCTTGGAGGTGATGAAACAGAATTAATTTTGTTTCTGGTTACTTAAAGAATATTTTTATGACATTCAAACAAGGTCACAAGAAAGTGGGGGCTAATTTCTCTTTTCTTGCTCTTTTCTTTGTGTTTCAGATCGCCTACAAGGCTGATTACAAACATGATGTTGTCGACTACAACTACCCGGCCACTCTTACCCCTTCCTATCAAACAACAATGAAACTGGTTCCCTTGAAAGATGTGAGTCCTTCTCCAATAGACCTTTATTCCTCATCACTTCCCTCCAATGGAGTGATTCTTAGGCAGTGAGATGGAAAGAAACAGGATACAGCAGTTCATAGGAGATACAAGGAACTGAGAAAAAGTAATTCTTTTCTAACAGGACGTTCATATATATGTCTGGAAACTCTTGGATTTCCAGCATAGGCAGAGACAGCCCTGGTTTCATCTTGGAAATATCCTAAAGTCCCATTTCACCTCTTAGAATTTGGGAACTATATCTGCTGCTGAGCACATTTAAAGTAATTATTTGCTAGCAGTGATGAGGTTTTTTTTTTTTTAAGTTTTATGTTTGAGGACCAGAGGAAGTAAACTGAAATAGCTATAAGTTGAGAGGAAATGGTAACATTGGCTTAATTATTTTCTCTAGGAGCACTTAATTATTTTCCCCAGGAGAAATATGTGTATAATTTTTAAATTTAATTTTATATAATATTAAATAAAATAATTTAAGATTAAGTAAAATAATTATTTAATATTACAACAGTGATTTTATTTATTTATATTTGGTTTGTCTCCAATGAAATATGTATAATTAATTAATTTCATTGTTTTCTAATTACAAGAATTTTACTACGTTTATTACAGAAAATTTAGAAATACAAAAATGTACAAGGAAAACAGTAGAAGTTATCTATTGTTTTAAAAAGTACATAAGGTGGTTTAGAACTGAGTTGTCAGTTCATGTTTGTCAGTGAAAGTTATCTTCAGTCAATCATTTAATGTAAGGACTTCCCTGGTGGTTCAGTGGTTAAGACTTTGCCTTCCAATGCAGGAGGTGAGGGTTAGATCCCTGGTCAGGGAGTTGAGATCCCACATGCCTCATGGCAGAAAAACCAGAACATAAAACAGAAGCTATATTGTAACAAATTCAATAAAGACTTTAAAAAGGGTCCACATCAAAAAAAAAAAAAACCTTAAATAATTTAGTATATCATTCAACTTGTGCCCATTGAGTGTCAGGGCTACTTTCCTTCACATTCCTCTGGAGTCAGCACAGCTCCAGCAGTTGACTTGGTCTGTGCTGTTGGTAGATAGGTCTTTGCAGCTCTTTCCCTTTTGCTCCGAGTAGGAGCAGTGGCAGGTTCAGCTGGACATCTCCAGCATCTAATATAGATACAGGGCAATGAAGGCCAGTCAGTGGCAAATGACAGCTTGATGGATGAAAGGGACTTTTCAAATGTGTGAATAAGCAGGGCATGGGAAGTAGAATATAAAGAGCCCCATTTTGCTTCTCCCTTTCCCAGAAAGTTTGGTTGCATTGACTTACTCATTTCACCTTAATGAAATTCAAGTTTAAACTTGACTACCAAAGCCAGGTTTCTTTTTTTGGCTTTCTTTTTTGACCTGAGAAACTTGAGGAATCAAGAGCATCTCATAAAAATCTGAGTGAGTTCTTTCATAGGGGGCTTCTGAGTGAGTGAGTTCTTTGAGTGGGCTTCCATAGTAGCTCAGTTGGTAAAGAATCCGCCTGCAATGCAGGAGGCCGGAGTTCAATCCCTGGGTCAGGAAGATCCCCTGGAGAAGGAAGTGGCAACCCACTCCAGTATTCTTGCCTGGAAAATCCCATGGACAGAGGAACCTGGTGGGCTGCAGTCCATGGGGTTGCATAGAGTCGGATATGACTGAGCAATTAACACTTTTCACTTTCACAGTAGAATTCTAGAAACAATGCTTAGTAACAAACAAAATGAGAGAGGGTCCTACAACTATTATATAGGGTCCTATAACAGCAATCCTGTTATAACATGACTTGCTATGACATTCGCCTCTATAAGACAGTGGATCAAACCAGGCACCTGAAATAGAGCCAGCTCAACCTGGAGAAGTCTGAGAGATGAATTAAACTAGATTGGATTAGAAATATTAATTGAAAGCAGAGGTAGATTCTGCACTGGCAGCCCATGAGCCAGATCCAGGTTGCAGAGGTATTTGGTGTGGCCACACAGTGTTAAGAAAAATTGTTTTTGAAATGATATGTAGAAATTGTGAGTTCACATAGGACCTGTGGCCCTAGTTCGTGCATGGCAGCAGTTGATGGGGCCTGAGTGGCCGCTTCTTCTATCACCTTAACCTGCTTTACTTTATTTTCCTGGCTCCTGTGTGAAAATTTTTACCGCCCTTAATGTAGGACTTTAGTTTTCAGAAAGTTTGCGTATCCATTTATAAGTATATTTGTGGTCTGTCTTTCTGTCTGGTAGTCTTAGAGTTGGTCAGATAGCCGTGAAATTAAGTAAACAAGCATGGGCCCTTAATTAGAGAACATTCCTTTCAGATGGATTTTAAAAACACTAATAGCATTAAAATGAGACTCTGCCCTTAGCAGAGGGAGCTTTCAGAAAGTAGACTGGAGCATTGACCAAGCATCTGTGATGTTGCAAAGATATCATTAATCATGGAGAGTGTTAATTATGTCCTGCAGAGGAGAGTAATTGTGCTCTGCGACATACTTAAGCAGAATTATCAGGAAGGAATGTGCCATTTAAAAAACACAGTTTTGTGACATTTTACCATGCCTAATTCTGAATTCTATTAGACTCTATTATGAGATGATAATTTTCCCTCTGACTTAGTGCGTTAGGAAGCTACTATAGTGTAATCTCATTAATATTTGACATTGAAATGACTTCATATTTCCTAGCTTTTCTACATACCCCAGGTCCAAAGCCCAGAATGTGCAAAAACCTTTTTTCCTTGAACTGTTAACTAAATAGAATGAAGCAATGCTGTCCCTTTTCTCCAAATCCCAACAAAAGATTCTGTGGTCTAGTATCTGGAACACTGTTCTTCGATCTTGTTCTAGAAGCTAATTTATAAGTCTTTTTGTTTTGTTTGTTTTCTAATTTGTCATAATACATTTCCTTCTCTAAGCAGAGATAGCTCTGGTTATAGGGAACCCCTGGCTCATCTATAAGATAACAGGTAACAGTTCCAAGCGCAGCAGCATTGGCAAAACCACAGTTATAGTCTGCAGTCTGGGAGCCCCTTTGGGAGGCCGACTGCTGGGATTTGAACCCTAGCTCTGACACCAGGGACTTTCCTGGTGGCTCAGACAGTAAAGAATCTTCCTGCAATGCCGGAGACGGGGATTCAACCCCTGGGTGGGGAAGATCCCCCTGGAGAAGGGAATGGCTATCCGCTCTAGTATTTTTGCCTGGAGAATTCCATGAGCAGAGGAGTCTGGTGGGCTACAGTCCATGGCATCTCAAAGAGTCGGACATGACTGAGTGATTAACGCTCCCTTTCTGACACCAGCTGGTGACCTTGAGCAAGTCACTTCAGGGCTCCGTGCCTCAGTTTACATGTTGTGGGGTGGGGATAGCAGTGCTCCCCACAGGGTGGTTGGGAAGATTCAGTGTGTAAATAAATGTATAGCACTCGCAGTGGAGCCAGGCGCATAGTAAGTGCTATTTTTTTTAGCTGTAATTATTGTTTACCTCCTGTTGGGACAGGCAAGAATGGAGTGAGTTCAAGGAAGAGATGCAATCTCAAGCTTTTCACTGGGTCTCTTTCCTTTGGGTCAATGGGTTTTAAAATATTGAACTGTTTCTCAGCATTTAAAATTGTAAGAATTTATATAATAATATGGATTTCTGGTTTCTTTGTGATAACTGGACGGTCTGGCCACTCCAAGTCCCACTTTGATCAAGATCCCCATCCCCCAGAGCTGAGTGGTAGCTTTGCCCTTTGCCACAGTCCCCACCACTCCTCATTCAGTTCAGTTCAGTCGCTCAGTTGTGTCCGACTCTTTGCGACCCCATGAATCACAGCACGCCAGGCCTCCCTGTTCATCACAAACTCCTGGAGTTTACTCAAACTCATGCCCATCGAGTTGGTGATGCTATCCAGCCATCTCATCCTCTGTCATCCCCTTCTCCTCCTGCCCACCCCCTGTGAGGGCAGAGCCCCCTGCTATGGGATCATGGTCAGAGGCAGTAGGTGGAGTATGGACAGAGAAGTAAGAGTTAGTGGGATGCAGGAAACTGGAGTTTGGAGGCCTAAAGAAGCTGCAATACTGTGCAGGATACTGGGTGGGGCCCTGGGCTTTGGGCAGTTAAACAGAGGCCTGAAGATCATGTGTGGGATGTTTGATGGTGATCTGACTGCTACTAACAGGTCCAGAACCTAATTGACTAAACGGCCTAGCATGGTGATGGTAGGTATTAAAATTCCTTTCTCTGATTAGCGATGTGGACGGTCACCCTTTCTTTCATTCCCTGGCCATTTGGTTGAAGTCTTTTTATGAGCCGCCTGTTCAGGCACTTACTCTTCAATGAACTGTTTTTCCATCTGTGGGCTTGGAGTGTCTGTTGGTCTCCAGTTGGAATCTTCGGGTTTTTCTTTGGTCACTTGAGAATCACAGCTCTATAGGGCTGAGGGGGAGGGAGCTAAGGAAATCTTAGAGCAAAGTACAGCTGACACCTTGTGCCTTTCTGCATCCAGGTCAACTACAGGCAAAGCATCGACAAGCTGAAGTACAGCTCTGTGACCAACACGCCTCAGATTGTTCAAGCCAAAATCAACGCCCAGCAACTGAGTCATGTGAGTCATGCCCAGCTAGATGTGGGGGACTCGCAGTTGCTTTGCAGGGTTCTGGATATCTGGTTCCCGAAGATTTGACTTCCATTGATGGTGTCATATGTCCTGTTACAACCATGAAATGACTCTTTTTAAAAGTTATTATTTTTAATATTTATTTATGTTTGGCTGCGCTGGGTCTTCCTTGCGCTGTGCATGCAGCCTTTATATAGCTGCGGCAATCAGGGGCTACTGTCTGGCTGTGGTGCTTGGGCTTCTCATTGCGGTAGCTTTTCTAGTTTCAGAGCATGGACCCTAGAGTAGTTGTGGTGTGCCAGCTTAGTTGCTCCGCAGCATGTGGGATCCTCCCAGACCAGGGATCAAACCCATGTCCGCTGCTTTGACAAGTGGATCCTTAATCACTGGACCCCTAGGAGAGTTCAGAAATTACTCTCTTTGATTTAAACTTTATTTTATAAAATTTCAAATACATTCAAAAGTAGCAAGGACAGCATAATGAACCCCCAGGCAGCCGTCACTCAGCTTCAATGAATTAACTCGTAGCCAGTCTTGCTTCTGTATGCACATCCACTGCCCCCCTCCATATTATTTTGAAGGAAATCCTAGGTATTGTGTAATTTAATCTACAGATATTTTACTATGAAACCCTAAAATATAAAAATAATTTTAAACATATTTATACAATTTTGATATATCACACCAAAAAAAACGAACAAAAATTTTTAACATCACCAGTGTCCAGGTGGCATTCAGCATTCCAGTTGTCTCATAAGATTATTTTTTTTTTTACAGTTTGTCTGAATCAAGCTCCAGATAAGGTCCACACTTTGTGATTGGTTGATATGTCTTCAAGACTCTTTTCATCTTTAAGTTTTCCTCTTTATCTCTTTTCTTGCAAGTTGTTTGTTGAAGAAACTGAACTGTTTATCCTATAAAGTTTCCCACATCTGAGCTTTGCTGACTGTATCCCAGTGTGGATTGCATATGTGTTCCTCTGGCCTCCAGTGCCTATAAAATAATAGTTGAATCTCTAGGTTTGGTCAGGCTCAGGTTTAATTTGGGGGCAAGACTGCTTCTCATATGATGCCGTGTTCTTCCGTTGGGAATTATAAAATGTCTGGTTGGCTGTTTTTGTGTGTGGTTTAAGATGGTCTGTTTCCAATGTGGGCAGACATTTGATAATTACTCTTTAAGTATCTAACTTCACATAGCAAGAGGTTTGGCATTGCAGTAAGTTTAAAAAAGCAAGTTTCATACCCTCAAGTGCTTTAGAGGCCAACGGTAGCTTTTCTAGTTTCGGAGCATGGACCCTAGAGTAGTTGTGGTGTGCCAGCTTAGTTGCTCCGCAGCATGTGGGATCCTCCCAGACCAGGGATCAAACCCATGTCCGCTGCTTTGACAAGTGGATCCTTAATCACTGGACCCCTAGGAGAGTTCAGAAATTACTCTCTTTGATTTAAACTTTATTTTATAAAATTTCAAATACATTCAAAAGTAGCAAGGACAGCATAATGAACCCCCAGGCAGCCGTCACTCAGCTTCAATGAATTAACTCGTAGCCAGTCTTGCTTCTGTATGCACATCCACTGCCCCCCTCCATATTATTTTGAAGGAAATCCTAGGTATTGTGTAATTTAATCTACAGATATTTTACTATGAAACCCTAAAATATAAAAATAATTTTAAACATATTTATACAATTTTGATATATCACACCAAAAAAAACGAACAAAAATTTTTAACATCACCAGTGTCCAGGTGGCATTCAGCATTCCAGTTGTCTCATAAGATTATTTTTTTTTTTACAGTTTGTCTGAATCAAGCTCCAGATAAGGTCCACACTTTGTGATTGGTTGATATGTCTTCAAGACTCTTTTCATCTTTAAGTTTTCCTCTTTATCTCTTTTCTTGCAAGTTGTTTGTTGAAGAAACTGAACTGTTTATCCTATAAAGTTTCCCACATCTGAGCTTTGCTGACTGTATCCCAGTGTGGATTGCATATGTGTTCCTCTGGCCTCCAGTGCCTATAAAATAATAGTTGAATCTCTAGGTTTGGTCAGGCTCAGGTTTAATTTGGGGGCAAGACTGCTTCTCATATGATGCCGTGTTCTTCCGTTGGGAATTATAAAATGTCTGGTTGGCTGTTTTTGTGTGTGGTTTAAGATGGTCTGTTTCCAATGTGGGCAGACATTTGATAATTACTCTTTAAGTATCTAACTTCACATAGCAAGAGGTTTGGCATTGCAGTAAGTTTAAAAAAGCAAGTTTCATACCCTCAAGTGCTTTAGAGGCCAGCGGGTGAAGTAGCCACAGGGAAGTCTTTTGCAAACTTGTAACTGTGAGCATGCCTTTGAGTTGTTTGACTTTTCATTTGGCATCTTCCGTCTGTTCATTTAAAATGTTCATAAAATTACAGGCTTCCTTGTGAAATGCCTTTTCCAGAAATTCCTTCTCAGCTACGGGCCTACAAAAAGAGAGTGTAAAAGAGCGCATTCTCTCCAAAGTTCTCCTTCTGCCATGTCAAAACCATGTGCTTACCCTGCGGGTTTATTTTAAATCCAACAGGTGAATTACCGTGCTGACTATGAGAAAAACAAGTTGAATTACACATTGCCCCAGGACGTACCTCAGCTGGTGAAGGCCAGAACCAATGCAGAACTGTTTAGTGAGGTGAGCAAGGAGCGTGGGTGAGAACACGGTGGGGGCTATAAACAGATGTGAAAATGAAGGGACAAGAGCAGTCCAGCAAACAGGGCTCCGGGACTCCTCTGTTCATGGAGAAGTTCATCGGAGGGTGCCCATCAGGTTGTAATTTTGAATGTTGCTGCCTCATGGCATGTGGTAGTTCATGAAAATAAATTGATCACAGCAATTGAATTCTCACTGTATGTACATGTGTATGGTGTATGCTGGAACACACACCCACACACACTCATACATACTCAGCATCATCCTGATGATTCCTAGCTGGTGCTTTGCTGTGTGGGTAAAGTTTAAGTTTGAAGAAGACCAAACTTAATCACCAGATTCTCCCAGGAGTCACTATGAGGCTATGACTAGCCTTCTTATTCTAGATAGGAATTGTAGGGCAGGAGAAAGAAAAGAGGAACTAACCTGGGAGGTGGTGGTTTAGTCACTAAGTCATGTCCCACTCTTGGGACCCCACCAGGCTCCTCTGCCCATGGAATTCTCCAGGCAAGAATACTGGACTGGGTTGCCGTGTCTTTCTCCAGGGGATCTTCCTGACCCAGGCATCAAACCCAGGTCTCCTGCACTGCAGGCAGATTCTTTACCATCTGAGCCACCAGGGAAGCCCAGTTAAGAGTTTGGGATTAACATATGCACACTACTATCTGTGGGATAGGTGAATAATAGGGACCTACTATATAGCAGGGAAGCCTGGTGTGCTATACAGTCCATGGGGTTGCAGAGAGTTGGACACGACTGACCGACTATACTGAACTGAACTATATAGCACAGGGAACTGTACCAAATATCATGTAATAACCTATAATGTAAAAGAACTGAAAAGGATATATATGTATAATGTGTATGTATATATATGTATATATATCTATTTATATATATATCTGAATCACTTTGCTATACACTGGAAACTGGCATAGTATTATAAATTATACTTTAATAAAAAATTTAAAAAGGAGAAAGTAATCTTTTTTGTATGCTTATTCTGTGCTGGACACTGGGATAGGCATTATATATGGAATTTTTCATATATATTATATTCATATGACCCCTTGGAGTTATTTATTGCAGAGACACAGTTGGTGGCCTGGGCTTTGGTATCAGAGAGCCAGGTGTTATTCCCATGGCAACAGCAATACCCTGTATCTGTTTGCACTTTATGAACTGAGGATATCTGTTCTCATGTACAGAATATGTTCTTACTGCCACCCTTGTGTGAAGTCACTTCAGCTGTGTTTGACTCTTTGCAACCCTATGGACTGTAGCCCACCAGGCTCTTCTGTCCGTGGAATTCTCCAAGCAAGAATATTGGAGTAGGTTACCATGCCCTTCTCCAGGGGATCTTTCCCACCCAAGAATTGAACCCACGTCTCTTATGTCTCCTGCAATGGCAGGTGGATTCTTTACCACTAGCGCCACGTGGAAAGCCCCTTAGAGAGATATATAATATTATTTTTGCAAATGGTAAACTGAGGACCAAAAAAGTGAAGTAATTGGTCCAAGGTCACATGATCAGGCAGCAACAGTGCTAGGATGAACCCATGGGTCTTCTCATTGTCCTGTCCCAACACTACCCCACATGGCCCTACAGTGAGGGAATCAGTAGTGTTAATAATTGTGGTTTTTCACCTCCGTGGTATTTCCATTCCTCTTGGTGCTGCTCCTTTTCATATAACTCATATGACTTAATAAAAGAGTGAATAAAATATTGAAAAAAAAATAATTGTTGTTATCACTTTGGTTGTAACAGCCAAGATTCTGCTCTGTAAGCAGATGAAGGCTCCAACTTTGTTATTTAAAAAACTTCTGTTCAACTTTTGACGAGACTGGACAGTGAGTCCCATTCACCTGTGATTCTGTTTGTCAGGTCAAGTACAGAGAAGGCTGGGAGAAGACAAAGGGGAAAGGATTTGAGATGAAGCTGGATGCCATGTCTCTGCTGGCTGCCAAAGCTTCCGGAGAGCTTGCGAGCAATGTAGGTTTCTCTCATTAACTCAGAAATGCGTAAAAGACGGTTCCAGTAAAACATCAGAGGTCCTGCAGAAAAGAATAATGACTGTTAACATTGTAAACACCGCTACACTTTAATCTTCAACTGGGTTTGAGAAAGACTGGGAGGTGTTTTTTTCAGAATAGTTCCCCTTGCAGTGGTCACCTGGACGTGGTCCCCCTTGCACTAACCACAGTCCCTCACATGGCAAAGTTTATCTCTCACAGTTGACTCTCCTATTTCTTTCCAGATTAAATACAAAGAGGAGTATGAAAAAGCAAAAGGCAAAGTGCTGGGCACTACAGACTCAAGGCTGCTGCACTCGCTCCAGGTTGCCAAGATGAGCAGTGAGGTGAAGTCTTTTCTATTCCTCAACCCCCTGACTTAGGGCTGTGTTGCTGTGAAAGTTTTTCCCAGCCTGCTTCACTTGAGGCTGCTTGTCATTTCTTTCCTGGCTGATGTGGGAAATGTTTTCTTTCTTTATCTTGGCAAAGACTACTATTCTTTGAAAGTAGATGAGAAGTGTGTGGTCCCTGAGGGTGACCGGCATCTGCTGTTCATGGTGCAGGATGTTCAGCCACATCTGTTCACTCTGAAATGTTTACTGAACAACTACTCTGGCGAGATATTGTGTCAGACACTGGAGTCACAAGAGTAAACAACGTATAACTGCTTTCTCTCTAATGGAGTTTAATTATGTTGGGAGCGTTAGACAGGAAGCTTTCTGTTTATTGAGGTGGTGTCCTGGATGAATCCTCTCGTCCAAACACATGTGGTATTCAAGATGTTTAGCCAACAACTGGGGCATCTAGGTTCCAGCCACTCAAAAGGGCAGTGCTTATAAACAACTCTGGTGGCAGGGGGTTAACCTGGGTAAGTATCCCTTAGCAGAAACCTTTGGGGAAGGAGTGGTCTGCCAAAAGGGTCAGATTTGGTTCCCAATGAAGACTTCCCTGTCGATGCCAAACAGGCAAAAAAGAAGCATGGTCATTGATTGTGCTTTACGATGGTGAGGCTGGCTTATGCTGCTTTGGTTATGATTATCTGATGACTCATGGAGGAACCAGGGCTTGAATAGAATAAGAGAATTGGCATCTTGTAACCCTTTCGGATGTGCCCTGTGGAACAAGCCCTCTGATGTCCTCAGTCATGAAGCATACAGAGACGCTGAGTATTTGGCTTCAATTTAGACAGAGAACAAAACTGGTATTTCATACTTGTAGTTGGAGCAAATGGGGCCAAAAAAGATGGCCTTGCCCAAAGTCATATTGTAGTCAGTGGTGGTGGCTGAGAAATAGAGAATTAGACCATAGAACTCTTAACTTACTGGTTCTAGGTTTCTTCTGCTGTACCACACTTCCTCACCATCACACCATCATCACCACCATCACACCATTACCACCATCATCACCACCGTCCATCCTCATTGGCCCCCTCATTGCCAACATTTATTGAGTGTTTGCTGTATACCATCCCTGCGCTAAGTGGGTTTCAGCTACTGTTTTGTTTACTTTTCACAATAGCCCTCCAAGGAAAATGAGCCTTTAGAGAGGTGATGTGACTTCCCAGAGGCCATCTAGCTGGCAAAGTTCAGATCAGATTTGAACTCAAGCTTGGCTGACCCTGGAGCCCAAACTTTGCTATATTTGCCTCTCAAAGCTTCCACAGAAACCATGGATCGAGTGTTTTCTTCCTAGAGCAGCTGGGTGAAAAGAGTCAGGAGGCATTTCTCACGGAGACAAAGTAGTGTGTAACCTCAGTTCCCAGGTGCCACCACTTAACAGAGCCAGGACTTGGATCTCACCCTTTGGACAGACGGGTGGCACTGCCCAGAGTGCCAGTTCCTCATGGAAGCCTGGGCTTCTTTCCTGTGTTTGTTTTCACATCACTCCCGCCAAGGCAGGCTTCCAGTAACACAGTGTGTTTTCATGGCTTCTAGGTTGAATACAAGAAAGGCTTTGAAAAGAGTAAGACCCACTTTCACCTGCCCATGGACATGGTCAACATCAGGCATGCTAAGAAGGCCCAAGCTCTGGCCAGTGACCTGGACTACAGGAAAAAACTGCATGAATACACTGTGCTGCCCGAAGATATGAAGACTCGCTGGGCCAAGAAAGCCTACGGGCTCCAGAGTGAGGTGAGCTCTGACTCTTTGCCCGCTCTCCCCATGCAGCTCTTGCAGCTGGATATGGTGACACTTTCAGAGTGATTTAGAACTTGTCCATGAGTCTGTTAGGTGACTCAGGACCAGGAAGAACTGTCGGAGATGTGCCAGGCCCAGGGAGGATGGACGGGGAGGTAGAGATAGAGATGGAGTTAGAATCAAGACAGTGGAGACTGGAGGGTGGAGGGTTGGGACTCAGAGCTATTGTGAAAAGTCAAGGTGTGTTGATAATGGGATGAGCAAAGAGGAAAGCAAGTGCTGCAAGTGGTAAAGCTGATATATGTTGTAAAGTAAATATAGGAAGCATAGCAGGTTGGCAGATAAGGTTCTTAGGCAAAAAGTCTGAAAAGCCCTCTCTTTTGGTAAAGGTGGTGGTGGTGTTGCAGAGCTAAGGTAGAATAGCCTCATTTGATTACAAGGTGGGCAGTGGCTTCACCCCCGAGCAGAGTTCTGCCTGACTATAAGATGAAGGGCAGAGAAAAGGCAGGCGTGAGCGCTTTCCTATGTCTCTGTTAACTTCTCCCAGTCTGCATCCATGTGTCTGATTATGCTTGGTCTTCCTCTTGCAGCTGCAGTACAAGGCTGACCTGGCGTGGATGAAAGGGGTTGGGTGGCTGACCGAGGGCAGTCTCAATTTGGAACAGGCCAAGAAGGCCGGACAGCTGGTCAGCGAGGTAACCTGAGCCCAAGCCCCTGGCTTTTCATCTTCTCAGACCAAGTCATCCCGGAGAGCCATCGTTCCCTCTGAATTCTCCTCAACCGCCAGGCTTAGTTTTTGAGTGAGACTCGGGGGAGTACTTCTTCATTTTGCACGTGTAGCTCACCCTGAACTAGCTTTCTACACCCTTATGCTTCCTGGGAGGTATTTGTTAGAAGCCGACCAATTTAAGTAGTACTTACATCCATGAGTCAGAACGATTGTGATATACAATTAGGACATAGGAAATGTGTTTGTCGTGTAAGGAGTGTGTGATTGCTTCCGAATCAGAGGATCTGGTATTTAGAGGTCAGGGCTTCCCTGGTAGCTCAGACGGTAAAGTGTTTGCCTATAATGCAGGAGACCTGGGTTCAATCCCTGGGTCGGTAAGATCCCCTGGAGAAGGAAATGGCAACCCACTCCAGTATTCATGCCTGGAAAATCCCGTGGACCGAGGAGCCTGGTGGGCTACAGCCCACGGGGTCGCAAAGAGTCAGACACGACTAAGCGACTTCATTTCACTTCACTTCACATTCTCATCATGCTTTTTGGAAAAAGAAAACACGTGATGCTGGGAAAGATTTGAGGGTAGGAGGAGAAGGGAACAACAGAGGATGAGATGGTTGGATGGCATCACTGACTCGATGGACATGAGTTTGAGCAAGCTCTGGGAGATGGTGCAGGACAGGGAAGCCTGGCATGCTGCGTGCAGTCCATGGGGTCGCAGAGTCGGACTAAGCGACTGAACAACAATTCTCACCGTGTGTGTGCCTTAAACTTACTGTAGACTTTGAGCAAGTCATTCAACCTTTCCAGTCCTCCTCCTCTCTTATGAAAATGCGAAGGTTGGCTAGGGTCCTCCCCAAATCCCTGTGGCTCCAAGCCTGTGCTTCTCTTTACTCGGTGTACAGCTGGCGTTGGCAGCAGGCAGAGGAGGACTTTTGAAGGACATTTCATTTGCAAGTGTGACTATTTTGGGAACCCTGTTTGGGATCTTCAAAGGGGGTTCTTATTTTGGTGCCAGGAAGGCTGAGTCGGCATTTTTCTTGCATATGGTATTCATAGTGCTGATAACAGCTGCCGTTTATAGGCTGATAATAATTATGCAACCAGTGCTGTCTTTCATTGATGACTGTGGGTGTATTACACACCCATGGTTCGTTTATCACTCACATTTATTACTCCTCTGTGAGTAGACACTAGTATTATTATATTCATATCCCCATTTTACATAGGTGGAAGGTAAGACAGTTACATTTCCAGAAGTGGCAGAGCTGGGATCTGTACTTAGTGTTTTGGTCCAATGCACCAGCTCTGGACGATTAAGCAATATTGGATTCCCGAAGCACCTTTTCTAACTTATTCTTATTTATCCACTTCACTCATCCTTCTCTCAGACACAGACACATTCAAAGTTAGGGTGTATGAATAAGGAAGGTAGAGAGAAGAGAATACCCTTGAGGGTTCCCATCACTTAACTTCTTTGAGACCAATTGAAATCCAAGTGGAACAAGCTGAGCCCCGTTTGTCTTGGACAGGGGTGTGGTAAGGGGACCTTCTGCCTTAGGCATGGCTGATCCTATCTCACTCCTGTGCTGACTCATTGTTAAGCTCCTCCAGGGCCAGGAAGATACCTGTCCTTTACCTTTCTCATAGCCCTGCTCCGCCCTGGGCAGGGTGGGTTCTTGGCTCCTCACTCAGCACTTCTGATTTGACCAGTGCAGAGGCTGGGACACCCAGGGATCTCCAACCAAGGAAAGGCAATGTGACTTCCTTCAATTGTGTGGTGAAGGAGTTTTCCCATTCAACATGCTCCAATGAGAAAGGGAAAGTACAAGTCTCTTCGGAATATTTTTTGTAGAATTTCTTTTCTTCCTCCTGGGAGAAATTCGGAATATTTCAATATTCCAGTCCCTATTTGTGCTTCAGTTGGTCTTGACAACCTTCTTGCTGACGGCGCTGGGGGCTCAGCTTACCTGTGATCTCCCCACAAGTTTCTGCTTCAATAAGCCATTCTCAGCAGCTTCCTTTCCCATCAACTTTGGCAACTCCAATGGAAAAGCCAGAGGAACTAAATCTCCGGGAAGGACAGGAAGTCCCCGTGGGGGAACAGAATTAGCACATGTAGGTTTTGCCCGTGGCCTGCGACTGTGAGATGGGGACATGAGGAAGACAAGCCCTCAGTAATCTGGAACACGGAGGGCTGTGAGGGCAGAACCCACGTGGCCACCTGCCTTCTGGCTGTGTCTCCTGGCGTTTCCTTTCACAATGCTTCCTGGAACATCCTGACAGCACTGTGAATAACAGTGACTGCGAGCACAGTGTACACTCACTCTGCCAATGGACTCCACTCGTGGGAAGGGAGGCTTTGAAGCCTCCGCACCACCCACAGTGAAGCAGCTTCTATTGTTTTCCACATTGTACAGTCCAAGCCTGAGCAGCTCAGGGGATCCAGGGATCTGCCCAAGGCCGTGAAGCCAGAAAGAGGTCGGGGGAGATTTGGACCTTGGGATTCATGGCTATCAAGTCCAAGTTCCCTCCACTCAGCTCTCCTATGTCAGGTCTAGGTTTACAAAATGGATCCATCCCAGGGCTCACGGTGACACGGGGTTCACTGAAGGGAATATTCAAGTCCCCATTCAGTAGAAGGGACTTAAACAAGCTCACCAGGCTGAAAGTCTCAGGTCTGAGTGGTCCTCTTTAAGCTAAAGGAATGGCTGGACCATCCCCCTTGGGAAAATTCTTGGGTCACAGAAAGTATATGGGTGATTGCATGTATGTGATGATGGGGACAGCCCAATCTAATGCTACCGGGTCTCTTTTCTTTGGAAACAGAAAAACTACAGGCAGAGGGTAGATGAGCTGAAGTTCACCAGTGTGGCCGACAGCTCCCAGATGGAACATGCCAAGAAGAGCCAGGAACTGCAGAGCGGGGTGAGTCCCGGGCTGCCCTTTCTCCTCTGAGCTGCTGTGTCATGGGCCTGGGAACCTCCGGGACCACAGCAGGTGCTGCCCAGGCATGAGCCAGGAGCCAAAGAGCCTTCCCTTTAAATAGGCTGGACCCTTATTTCCACGGGCTTCCATGCCTCCCTACCTCACTCACCATATTTATTCTCTGGTTGTTAAGGACAGATGTCAGCTGACATTGTTCCTTTTCAGTTTTCAATCTTGCCTAGTTCCTTTTTCTTTCTTTCTCCTTATCTCTCTTATCAAGGACTCCAGAATTCTGGAGCCAGTAGAGAATTATCTTAGAGGAGGATAGCATTTGCTTGTGAGATGGGTACACTTCATGCCCACTTGCACTCAAATGTGGAAGGCAGAACAATGAAACACCACATATGTTATTTACATGTTAGGGATCAACAGCTGAGCGAGTGTAGTTGCTACCATCTGGCCAGGACGTTCCTAGCTTTCCTTTCTAAAGGTCCAGATACATCTGCCAGAACGGATGCAATTAACATAATTCAGAGTTAGCAGAAAGCCACCGCATGGAAACTCAAGCTGGGAAGTGGGAGAGAAGGGAAGAGAAAAAGAGCAGGAGTGATTCAGTTTCCATGGAGAAGATGTTCACTCATGCTGCTTTTTTGGTCACTGTTCACTTTCCAGGTGTCACTACCTGTGGATGTGCTAGGTTTGATCATGGGGTGCAGGAGGCAGGAGATACTTCTTCTTTTTCCCACTTGGCGAGTCCATGTTCATCTTAGCCCTCTAGTGGGTCCTTTTTGTGGCCATGGATACTGTGGATGGGAACAGCTTGGGGAAGTTGATGCCTCCTGGGAAAATGGGGCTTCTCTGATGGCTCAGATGGTGAAGAATCTCCCTGCAATACAGGAAACCCAGGTTCGAGGGTCAGAAAGATCCCCTGGAGAAGGGAATGGCAACCCAATCCAGTATGCTTTCCTGGAGAAGCCCATGGACAGAGGAGTCTGGCAGGCTGTAGTCCATGGGGTCACAAAGAGTCAGACATGACTGAGCTACTAACATTTTCACTTTCTTTAACGGAAAATGAGAACCTTAGAGGGTTCTCAGATTGGTCCTCTGGCCACGTCTTCCTCCCAGCTGCTCGCTGCTGCTGCTCATTCCCTAGTCATCTCTTCTGCCTCATTTCCTGCGTGCTGCCAGCCAGCATCTGGCCCGATTGATCTTGTAATGGAGTTTCCCTGTAAGACACAGAAGAACCGAGCAGCCCGCTTACCTCCCCCTTTGCCTTCTGCTGCTGACCCAGTGTTCCCTCCCAACAGGTGGCCTACAAGGCGGAGCACGAGCAGTCCGTCCATCAGTACAGCTTTAGCAAAGACGAGCCTCTCTTCCTTCAGGCCCGAGCCAACGCTGCCAACCTCAGCGAGGTACAGTCAAGGGGGCGGGTGGCCGGGGGCTCTACTTTCCTGTATGTAGGCACCTGATCTGTAAAACCCAGCAGCTATATCAGTGTGTCTGTGTCCGGTGAGGCTGCGTACATCTGGTCGTTGTCAACTCCTTACCAGTATTAGTGAGCAGGAGGGGCTTCCCTGGTGGCTCAGTGGTAAAGAATCTGCCTGCCAAACCGGAGATGCCAGTTCAATCTTTGGGTCAGGAAGATCACCTGGAGGAAGAAATGGCAACCCACTCTAGCATTCCTGCCTGGAAAATCCCAGGGACAGAGAAGCCTGGTGGGTTACAGGTCTGTAACCTGGTTTGAAGTCACAGAAGAGTTGCCACTGCTCTGGAGCATGCACACAGGCACGCATGCACACAGGCACGCAGGCACGCATGCACACATGCACACATGCATGCATGCAGACAACCTTTGGTAGGAATGAGCACTGACTACACGATGGAGGAGGAGGCAGTGGTTATTCCGGGGTTGGAGTTGAAACAGCATAAGAGTAGTGATAGAGAGAGGAGTGAATAAGAGCTCAGACATTGGCTCCAAACTGTCTGGGTTTTTAGCACTTACTAGGTATGCAACCGTGGGCAATTTCTTTGCTCTCAGTGGTCCCACTGGCAAACGAGGGCACTCCTAGTTCCCTCTACACTGAGTTGCCCCGAAGTCTCAGTGAGCTGATATATGGAAAGCACAGGGAAGAGCATGCTCAGGGAAATTATTCCTTAGGCACGAAAGCTTGCGGAGTTCCAACTTTTCTTCTCTGTCTTCTAAGGAAGGGCCTTTCTTGGCTCTTCTGCTGGGCTCCCAGGTCTTTGGGGTCCTGATGCAAATATTGGGGAGAGGGGGGAGAACTGGAAGGAGAAACAGAAGCCAAATTGATTGACACAGAGAAATGGAGGGAGCCTTAGATGGTAAAGAATCCGCCTGCAATGCAGGAGACCTGGGTTCAATCCCTGGTTTGGGAAGATGTCCTGGAGAAGGAAATGTCTACCCACTCCAGGATTCTTGCCTGGAGAACCTCATGGACAGAGGAACCTAGTGGGCTACAGTCCATGGGGTCGCAAAGAGTTGGACACCACTGAGCAACTTTCACTTTCCAGAAGAAAGAACTGGAAATCTGGAGGTGGGGGCAGGACAGGAAGTGGGAGGAGCAAAGAAAAGACTCACATGCAGTAGAGGCTGGGCTCAGAAAGAGAAAGGGGTGCAGACAGAGACGGGGAGCAGACTCTTTGGAAGTTCTGCTGTGTGTTGTGTGGTGTCATTCCACCTATGACCTGTCACTAGACTTCTGTGAAGCCTCTTAGTATTTTCCAGGGCTCTGGAGTTCAGTGTCTGCTTCTTTCATCCAAAGCCCTGTAAGGCAAGAGGCCTTAAGGTAGGAACAATAAGGCCTGCTTTTAGTCAGGCTCTAGGTTTCTCTGGGTCTTAGGGTTTTTATGGAAGGATGTAATGGGTTTTTGCCCCCTGGAGAGGTTGTTATAGGGTCTAAGGGAAGTCCTCTCACTTCAGGATGATCTCTTTTCTCCTAAATCCCATTAGAAACTGTACAAGAGCAGCTGGGAAAACCAGAAGGCGAAAGCGTTTGATCTGCGTCTTGACTCCTTGGCCTTCCTGGCAGCCAAAGCCAAGAGGGACCTGGCCAGTGAGGTGAGTCAGTCCCAGTTTGTACTCGGCACCAGGAATCCTGACATCTATATCTGGGGGAGTCCGAAAGTGTCCTGGCAGGTTTTTAGTCTCTCTGAGCCTCAGGATTCTAATCTGCAAAACGGAGATAAGTATGACCATCTTGCAGTGAGATAATCGTGTAAGTGTCTAGCACGCTGCCTGCCACACACTTGTTTTTGGTAAGTGGTCACTGGTATTATCACTAGTAGTAGCGTGAGTAGTAATCCAAACCACTCATTTTACAGGTAAACTGATGCCCAGAGACATTCCATGACTTTCTAGGGATGTGGAGGCCTGCTGAGGTTAAGAGTACAGGCTCAGGTGTTGGAATGACTTGGGGTAAAATCCCTGCTCCATCACCAAATAGCCTGTGACTCAGGGTAGGCTGTCTCACCTTTCAAAATCTCAGTGAACTCATGGGTAAATTGATAATTGCAAAATGGTTATGAGGAAATGAGATGCATTGATGTGTGTTAAGTGTTCTGTAGCCCAGTGCTGTCTATTACAGTTCCGATGTGAGAAAAGGAGCTTAGGTTATAAGTCTGGTGGCTCAGACAATAAAGAATCTGCTTGCAATGCAAGAGACCTGGGGAGCAGCTTTCACTTTCACTGCTTCCTTCATCGAGAAAGTCTTGCTTCCAAAAAAACCCCAAATATATATGTGTGTATACACATTCTGTATCTATTGTGTATGTATATGTAATAATATATATATACAGAAAAATATACCCATAAAAGTGTATAGCTATCAGCTGAATTAAACAATGGCTTGGCAGTGTGACTGATATGCATTATGACACAAACCCTTTGTCACATCACAAACAAGCACTTGTCTATAGATACACTTTTGAGTGGCACAGATTTATACCATCCCTGGCTCATTATAAGTGTTCAGTAAATCATGGCGAATAGTGATCCTGTTGTTCTTGTTGGCAGATTTGAGAGTAGAGCCCATGTCTCCTGATGACCCCGGTAATGATGATGTTGAAATGATGCCACACACCAGCATCCTGCTACAGTTTTCAAAGCATTTCCATATTTATTCTCTCTTCAGATCCTCATAAATCTTGGCCTAGTGTTTCTTTTTCAGGCTGGTGTGCTCCCTTTTGCTCCCTGTAACTCCTAAATATTTACATGTACCTCAGTTGTCTTTAATTTGAACTTCTTTCTGAAATAGCAGTTGTATTTTAGGTATTCTGTGTCTTTTTCATTTGGTGATGACTTTCCATACTATTCTCGCTGTTATCAAAAAAGATTACAAAGTGGCTTTCATGAAAGCAACAGGCCACTTAAAAATAAACCCAGAAAGAGTAATCTCAAGTAATATAGAGACAAGGTGGAATTTCACCAGGAAATGGGGAGAAGACTGTTTGATAGCTGAACTTTGAATTTAGTTCTGAGGTTCTGGCAGTGCAGGTGTAAAGGGAAATAATAAGTTGTAATTTTTTTTTCAATATTTGATGAAAGGAAATATATCAGTTGTTCAAAGGAGGCACGCTTTTTATGACATTAATTCTGATAGGTCCTGTTGTATGACTTTGTTTTAACTTTCTTGTGTGACTTGATGCTTAATTCCTTTAGGAGATATCTGCTAAGGTGCCCCTGCTCTATTTCTCTCGTTTAGGTGAAGTACAAAGAGGATTATGAAAAATCCAGAGGGAAGCTCATTGGAGCTCAGGGTGCCCAGGGGGATTCGCAAATAAGCCACTCGCTGCACGTGTCCAAGCTGCAGAGTGAACTGGAATACAAGAAGGGCTTCGAGGACACCAAAGCCCAGTGCCACGTCCCCCTGGACATGATCCATCTTGTGCATGCCCGCAAGGCTCAGCACTTAGCCACAGACGTGGGCTACAAGACGGCATCCCATCACTTTACAGCTTTGCCCACAGACATGAAGGTGGAATGGGCCAAGAAGGCTTACAGTTTACAGAGTGATGTAAGCTCCTCGTGTGTGTGTGTGTATGTGTGTGTGCATACTAGTGTTTCCCAAACCCTTCAGGACATAGTCTATTCTTTGAGAGACCTGTTTCTGGATCCCTCAGTGGAAACGTTTAAGCTTCCTAATGCTTTAATTTTACTCAGAGCTATGTCCATTTTAGATTCGGTACTACCAAACAAAATTATACAGCTTCCTTTTTCTTCTTGGCATTCTGATGGACATAGGTTATCTATGTTTCTCCTTATTCCTGGGTTGGCGGGGGGATGTATATGTGACATTCTCTACTGTGGCCCTGCCAGTGGAGAGAGCATTCCGGGTACTCAGTCCAAGGTCAGTAGTCCTGTTTAGAAAGGGCAGCTTGCTAGTCCTCCATAGCCCTTTCCCCTTCCCCATTATGTTCTTTCATCTTCGGTTGATTCTCGCACAGGAAAGTGGGCGAGCTGAAAAGACAGGTCAGCGACACTCAGATTATCGCCCATGGAGGTGGGGTGGGGGCAGTGCAGACACACCCTTCCAGGTAGAGCTCTTTTAGGTTGGAGAGGTGATCTGCTAGTTTCAGAGAGGTGTCCATATAAATGATTTTCCATTAAAACTACTACTCCTTCCATGGCAAAGAAAGAAATGAGAAATACCTCCCCTGCTGCCCTGCACTGAGGTTCTTAAGAAGGAATTGGCACTGTGGGAAGTCTCACACATCTTGTGAAATTCCCTCAGATAGCTCCCCACCCGGGTTCCGTTGTGGATTCTCATTTTCTTCTCCCCTGCGTGTTATTTTAAACAAGAAACCGGGGAAAGCAGACAATGAGGCCGCGCTTCTTCCCAAGGTTGCCGTGGACCTGTAATGAGGAATGCGACTGATGGGGGCCCCCCTTCATCCAGCTTCACCCCCAGCAGCGTCGGGTGGGGCTAAAGCCACCATCTGCGGGTCGGCTCCAATTAAGGGAGACATTAATTTACATTTTGGAGCCCTACCTGTGACTGTGCAGAAATGGATAAGACAAAAGTGGCATCTAATTTGACTCAGCTGGCACCAAGGTGGCATCGGGGAGCCATTAATAGCCCTTTAAATGTCTGCGCACCAACAATGGCCTGCCTTTTTCTCCCCCCCCTTTCTCCTTTGTCAGAACCAATACAGGGCAGATGTGAAGTGGATGAAAGGGACGGGCTGGGTCGCCACCGGGTCATTAAATGTGGAGCAGGCGAAGAAGGCAGGAGAACTCATTAGCGAGGTGAGATTCCCTGACAGCGTGCGGCGGGCCTGGCTGCATTAGGCGTGCGGCATTTCTGTATAAAATTAAAATAATTTCCACTCAAAAGGCAAAGAAAAAGGCAAAGCTACATGAAAGGCCTCCAAACCCAGACTAGGGCCAGTAATTAGAGGAAAACCACATACCAAACACACCCCAGTAGGGGCTCACAGAGCCCTGGCAAAAACAAAGTGGGTGACAAATGATATTATGAATAATAATGACAATCAAACAGAGCTCAATTGCTACCCACCAACTTACCTTTTTAATGAAGCAACACGGGAGAGATGATAAAAAGACACATTTTTCGCACCCAGAAAGCCCTTTGGTGACTTCACGCACATTTTCTTCCTCTTTCTTTCCGAGGCAGGCAGTGTAAACAGTTTTTGAATATTCACGTGGTGTCGAACATGTGACATGGTTCTTTTTTTGTTGGAGGGCCTCATTTATGTTTGAATCTCACCACTGTCTACTTGCAGCCACCCTGGTTGGACTCACAAGCTTCTGAAAGGAACTGTTTCCTTGCTTTTTAGGACAGTGTCCTTGATCTGATCTTTGAGCAGATCTTTTAAAGACTAGGTCAGCGTTTCTCGACCTTGGCCCTGTGGACATTTTGATGACTCTTTGTTGTGGGGCTGTCCTGGGCCTTGCAGGGCATTTGGCAGCATTGCTGGCCTCTAAGCATTAGACGCTCACGGCACTCTTTCCCAGTCACGACAAACAAATATGCCTCCAGACACTGTTGCAAGCTGGAGTGACTGCTCCTGGGCTGGATACATCAGAGTCATCTTTGTCTCACACTCACAGAGAGGCTGCACACCCTCAATAAGCCAAATCCACTCTGTAAAGTCTGCTTTGGGAGGCGCTTGCTCAGCAGCCTGGTCTTTCTGGATGTTCCTGGGTGAGGAGGAGACATAATGACTATAGCCCCAGAAGACTTCAACCTTGAGACAGTGAGCAGCCTGGGACAGTGTTTCGGTCCCAGGTCCTCCCTCTAGTGTAAGCACACCTGCCAGGCATTGATATTTTCCCATGGGTGAGCACTCCAGTCACCTGACACGTCATAGTTTATGCATGATAAGTCGCTTCAGTCGTGTCCAACTCTTTGCAACACCATGGACCGTAGCCTGCCAGATTCCTCTCTCCATGGGATTCTCCAGGCAAGGAGACCAGAGTGGGTGGCTGTGCCCTCCTCCAGGGGATCTTTCCCACCCGGGGATCAAACCAGCGTCTCTTATGTCTCCTACATTGGCAGGCAAGGTCTTTCACTAGCACCACCTGGGAAGCCCAATGTGTCACAGAGCTGATTTCAAAAATGGCCTTGCTCTGATTGACCTCATTTTTAGAAATGTTAGTGGACATTCAAGGCTCAGAAGACCCTGGGAGTTCTGTAGAGATTGTACTGCCCTAAGTATTAAATAATTCAGTCTTATTAAGGAGAAGCTCCCTTAGGAGGGTGAACATAAGAAACTTACAGGAGGAATCATTTAGAGTTGAAGAGTCATGCTCCCAAACTCTCCATATTGGACCCACTCACAAAAATAAAGGCCGTTGTACACATCATTTAGACTTTGAGATGATTCCTTCATGTATTTAAGTCTGGAAGACAAGGGATCTTTTTTGGAACCATCTTTCCTATAGGGGCCTTAATTTTCCACCACATTTTGCAAACTTATTTAACAAATTTGCTTATCTTCCGTGCTTTGTGTGTGCTCACTCAGTTGTGTCCGACTCTTTGCGACCCCGTGGAACGTAACCCACAGGCTCCTCTGTCCATGGAGCAGGAAAAGGAGCAGGTTGCCGTTTCCTATTCCAGGGGACACTCCATGCTTTATACAGGTCTTCAGACTTCAGGAAGGACATCTTCTAGCAACTTTTCCCAACCATCTCATTCCAGTTTGGCGTGTTTCCAGTTTAGGGTCAAGTTGAATTGATTTCTTAGTTTTCAGATGGAATGCCAGGCTCTGTGAAAGAGCCACAGATGCACACACACTTGTCATTTAAACCAGGAGTTAGCAAACCTTTTTTTTGTAAAGGACCTGATGGTAGATATTTTTGGTTTTGTGGGCCACCCCACTTCTGTTGTAACACTCACCTCTACCATTGTAGCCAGATACAGCCATAGATAAACATGTAAATGAATGAGAATTTAATAAAACTTTATTTACAAAACAAATGATGGACCAAATTCAGCTGGACATTTAACTGTCTTCTTAAGATAATCCAGTATACAAATATTCAACCCAAAGGAAGTGTTTCTAAAATAATTGTTTGATTGGATAAAGGATACACTTCATAATTCCATTAAGAAAGCAACCATTTTACTCTCCTGGAACTGTACTTTGATTAAAAAAAATTAAGCATGATTTTCAGAATATTTCAAAATTGGATATCTCAGACTTTGTTAGCATTTGTATTTCTTGTAACCCTTATTGTTTGTTTCAGTCTCTTTCAAATTGTCTGATGATTCCTTTCAATAATAGCACTCTTTTTCTTGTTATTATAACATTTATAGAATTATTGCATATGTTAACTGAACTAGTTTGTAGGGTCACTGACTGTTAAAGTAAGGGTTTTGACTGTGACATCTCTTCCAAGTTCTTTTGTGGAAAGAATTTAGAAAGCTTCAACGATAAATGTAACTATGAATGTTCTTTCTTGCTTGGAAGACCCAAACTAAGGTATGTAAACAACTGCAAGACAGTATCTGAAGGCTATATAAAGAATCTTTTCCTAAGTGTGTATCCTACAGTATTTTACCCATATAACCTAATTTTGAGATGTTTTCTTTGCACCAGGTAGAAATACTTTAATGTTAATTGACATGAGGTTATTCTTAAATTGAAACAAATATTAACCTGAAGGCACCTAGGATATAAAGATGGAGGAAGCCGAATAATAATTATGTTCACAAATTCACTCTAATCTCAAGCAACCTATGATTTTCTCTTTCAAATGGCATGAAAGAGCAGCACAAAATTCACAGCTTTGATCTTTTTCTGCTCAACAGAAGAAGTACCGGCAGCATCCAGATGCTTTGAAGTTTACCAGTATTAAAGACACTCTGGAGATGGTCCAGGCCAGAATTAGTTATACCCAAGCAGTGGATGTAAGTGATAATGTATATACATTATGACTCTAAGAGTGGGCTCTTCTTTCAACCCTGCGATTGAAGCTGAGGGGTTCTTGGCTTGCTCCTTCTGTTGTTCTAAGGATGAAGGAGCTTCTTATCCTTTGCTGAGACTCACCTTAGCGGGGGTGCTTCTTCATCAGGATGCAAATGGGGTGTTACCGCTGCTCTTAGCTGCCAAGTGGGGCGCCACCACCCCAGTGCCCCTGGCTTTCATTCCTTCCTATTTGCATGTCTCCAGGATTTGTCTGTGGTCAAGGCCTTTTCCCCTCTCCTTTTGTTTTGAAACATTGTTTTCAGAAATGGGACTTTGGGGCCAAATTCTTGATGATTGGAATATTTAGGAATTGGAATGCTTAGGGTTTCTTGGGAGCCAGGGCAGGAATTCTGGCTTTCTGAATTCCCCTAAAGACTTGGAAAGTGATTTGAATCTGATTTATGTACATTAGACTAACTTTTAAGCCATTTCCCATCTTCCCTTTATAAAGTGAAACCAAGATCTGGCCTTTTGCCTCTCAGCGCAGGGTTCCTTGGAGACTGGGAAGAATGACGAGGTCCTCTAAAAATTCACGTTAAGACAGGATTAGCCCTGTTTGGCTGATTCTACTGAGAGGGGCCCTTGGGTCATTGCGCAGGACAGACAGGCCTTTAAAATATCTTCAGACCTTTAAACTTGCCACAAGGGAAATTGACAAACCTTGGTGGGGAGGAGTTGCCAAATGTCTCCCTTGCTTCCCAATTGAAGAAATTACTCCTGTTGTGCCATATTCGATAGTCATTCTGAGATGGCTCGAGTGCCTATCTGAATATGTTATGGGATGGTTTACAGACTTATGGGTTTAGAAATTTTATTATTTCTTAACCATCAGCCTGTCAGAAGCAAATTTAATTCTGAGAAGCATAGATGGTCAAACAAGAACTTGTGTAGAAAGAGAAAAAAAAAATACCTGCTTTTTCCTTGTCCTAACCAACTCTAGGGGGCACTGCTGTGATACGTAGAAACTTGGACATGTCTAATAAGATTTGGGATGGAAAAGCCTGATTTAGAAATTTTCTCTGGTGGTGGATGCCAACTCCATGTGTCACTGCTAACTGCTAGAATTATCATAAGCCCAGATCAGAGATCTGGATGGACAGAGCCCCAGACCCACCCAACCCACCGGGAAGAGGTTTATTAGTTAGCATAAGAATCCTTGAGGTGGCAGGGATGAGGGGAGGATGGAGGTAGGTCCAGGGAAAATCTCATCTGTGGAAGAACCATTCTCTCTTGTGCCTGCTGTATTTTGAGGTCCTCTCCTTGTTTGTTCAGCCACTCAGTCGTGTCAGCTCTTTGCCACCCCATAGTCTGCCGCACACCAGGCTTCCCTATCTTGCCCTATCTCCTGGAGTTTGCTCAAATTCATGTCCATTGAGTCTGTGATGCCATCCAACCATCTCATCCCCAGCCGCATGTCCTCTCCTAGCTCACAGTTAATAACAAAATTCCTAGAGATTAACCAGACCTCATTCTCTCATTGGACACCCATCTCAGCAGTGTGCTCCAAGGGGAGTGTTCACTGAAAGGGCAGGTTTCAGCCTGTCATGTTCTGGGCTAAGAAGTAGAACTTGGGAGGGAGTGAAGTGCATGTCACCGGGGAGAGGATCACCGTGCAGTCCTGGAGGAGACAGGGCACCCAAGATCCTGTCTCCATGGGGGAGGGAACGGCGGCAGTACCTTTGTCTCCTGGAGGATAACCTGGCTGATGGCTGCGTGGGGGAGGCTTCTGGGTTTAATGCAAAACCTCTCTGCATCCACAGAGGTTATACCGGGAACAAGGAGAAAACCTAAAGCATCATTACACGCAGACCGCCGACCTCCCTGAAGTCCTGCTGGCCAAGCTGAATGCCATGAATATCAGCGAGGTGAGGCTGATGGAGGGGAAAGGGAAAGTATTAGTCTGTCAATCACGTTCGACTCTTTGTGACCCCACGGACTGTAGCCCATGAGGCTCCTCTGTGCATGGAATTCTCCGGGCAAGAATACCAGAGTGGGTAGCCATTCCCTTCTGCAGGAGATCTTTCCGACCCAGAGATCGAACTTGGGTCTCCTGCATTACAGGCAGCTTCTTTACCACGTGAGCCACCAGGGAAGCCCTGATGGAGGGGTGGCTGGTTTTAGTTGCGGGAGATCCTGGACCTGCCCGGTGGCACCGCACCTGTGCTCGGAAGCATCCTGCACTCCTGCTTTCGGTTTAATGCTCTGCTGTTACCGAAATGTGCAAGGTTTCTGACAAGGGGCCCCATGTTTTCCTTTGCGATGGACCCTGCACGCTGTGGCTGGTCGTGCGGAAGAGCCAAGCACATTGATAAGGATGAGACTAGGAAAACTTCCTTCATACAAAGGGCATTTATACTGAGGGGCTGGAATCTAGGTGAAGCCCTATTTTCTATATTGAAGCTATATTCTATAGCCTTGTAATATAGGTGAAGACATCCAGCCAAAGAGAGACTTGGGAGACTGAGCTCTTTCCTTCCCGCATCCTTGTCAGCACCCTGCTTGCCTCTTCTTCAGCGGAGACAGTAGAATCCTCTTGATTCTCCGTCAAGAGCTGTGCATCTGCAGCCTCATGCCTCCTTCTTCCAATCAACTTGCTGCTCAGAACAGTCTGGTTCTGACCCCAGAGCTCTTGCCTTTTAAACCCCAGCCCCAGCCCCACGGCATTCCCCTCCAAGGCTGGACACGAGGCAGGTTCCAACTCTCACTTGGTTTTTGCTGGGCCACAGTGATCTCTTAATTGGGGGGGAGCACTTCACAAGAAACCAGACTCTTGTTTTGATTGTGGGAATTTAGGAAAGGTCTTTATTGGTGCCCATCTTCTCAACAGACACGTTATAAGGAATCCTGGAGCAAACTTCGAGACGGTGGCTATAAACTGAGACTGGATGCCATTCTGTTCCAGGCAGCAAAGGCTTCTGGCGAAATCATAAGTGATGTGAGCTTCACACCCGCGTTCCTGTGACAATGTTTAATCCTCACCCATTTGTATTCCTTTTGCCCCTAACCCCTGCCTTCTTTTGCCTGTGGCTAATATCCTCTCCTATCCCCAACTGACTGTGTCAGAGCCATCAGATAACGACCGGTGAGAAAGAACATGCCTTACAACAACAACAAAAATCCCCTAGCCGGGGTACAAAGCTGATGCTGGACTGTAAATATGGACCCCGGGCAGATGAAACGCACCCTCCACCAAGCGCTTTCCTAAAGCCAGTCCATGTGAAGAGACTGTTAACAACGCACCCACCTTCCTCCCAGCCTGGGCCGCCCAAGCGCTCTTGTGTCCTGCCATTTCATATCCCAGCCCTTTAGTCATTGGGAGGCTTGCATATGAAAGAATAGGCCTTTTGACGACTCCCGCGCCTTTTCTTTCAACTCACCCAGTTACTGTCAAAAGAACAAAACATTTTTTGCCCAATACCCACCTCTTCCATTCCGTGTCCCTTGTCCCTGAGCCGTTACTCTCTCCCGCTCTCTTTCCCTTTAGTACAAATACAAAGAGGCATTTGAGAAAATGAAAGGGCAGATGCTCGGCTCCCGGAGCTTGGAAGATGATATCAGCCTTGCACATTCAGTGTACGCGAGCTGTCTGCAGAGCCAAGTAAGTGGGAGAGAACTCAGTGGAGCCTGGACCCCCAAACCTAATGATGACGCACAGCCCACAGATGTCCTGTGTCCTTCTGGTTGTGGATTTTGGCTCTGTCCCGGCTAGCTGGGTGGCATGGTCAGGACCCTTGGCCCCTCTGGGCTTCAGCTTCTTCCTCAGTCAAGTGAGAGATTGAGCATTCTTTGATTCTCTCATTCTATGATTTTGACCAGCGGCCACAAGTGGAGGCCTGTGGGTTGGATTTTTGGACTGCAGAGGTATTTTGTTGGGTCTGCAGAGAAAATGAATTGCAGACTTTTCAAAATGGGAAACTTGGCATGAAAGTTTTAAAGTTCTGTGCCGAAGCCAGGCCTGGATTCCTCAAGGCTACTGTTGAAGTTGATTACTGAGAGCCCCATTTAGAAGGGATCTGTGCCCTCCTGGTCAAGCAGCCAAGCCCTGCTCACCCACTGCCTCCTTCACTCAATTATGCTACCTATCTGGCTCCTGGTGACATCTGGGTTTGCACCCCTTGACTTTGATCCTATGGGTGCTGGTACATGCATGTATGGTATCTCCTGGTACATATGTGAGTTGGCTAATGGCTGGGATGAAATCTAATATGTGTCCAACATGTAGCAGAGGGCTACACACTTTAACACGCAGTGCCTCGTTTAATCATCAGCTTATTTCTAGGAACATTGTTTGTTCATCCTGGTTACTGATAAGGAAACCTAGGCCCTGAGTGTCTCAGTCCCTTGCCCAAGGTTGGCTGGAAAGGGGCAGAGCTGCACATGGAGCCAGCTCTCCATCACGTGCTCTCTCCACAGCTTCTCTGCCTCAGTTTCCCTGTTTCTAACACTTCTTTCCACTTTCTGTACCAGGGTGGGATTGGACATGAATTGTCCGTGGCTTTTTACTAGCGGTTGGGGGAGGATGAGCAGAAGTGGGGGTGTGTGGTTAGGAAGGAGTGTGGGCGGAGCTTGGAGGGCAATGAGAAGACTGGAGGAAGAAGAGATGGCGATTATGCATCTGACTCCTCAGAAAGCCCAGAGTGAGCTTCGAGGACCTTCAAACAGCTCCTCCGAGGACTGGGGTGGAGCTTGAGGTCTGCAAATGGGCCAACCCCTTCCTGCTACAGGATGCATGTTGGGCTCTTGGGAACTCCTCCCTCAGAACTGGCTTTTCAAGCATCTGCCTGCTGCTCCCAGTTCCCAGATGTACTAGGATGTCATTGTCTAAGTTTGAAGACGCTGTCCATTAGCTAGCATACGGGGAGAAACCCTGGTGTCTCAGTCTGAACTTGTGAGGGTGATAAGAAGTGCTGGGGAGCAGGAGGCAGCTCAGCCATGCCTCCTCTTGCTTTTCGAAAGCAAGACGATCTCGACTTGAACTAGGGAACCACTGAGATTTTATCTGCCCCTTGAACTTCTGTATTTTCTCCAAGTGGGGGAGCCCTGAGCCTGGGTCCCCATCAATGACCGCAAAGAGCTGAGAGTGGCGAGTGGCAGGACCTAGAGATGAGTCCTGCTTATTAAGCCAGTCCCCATAAGAAAGGAGGACTGGGCCTGCCAAGAACACCCCTCGGGGCTCACCTGGGACAGTCGCAGCACGTTGTTCTCCCTCGTGGCCCTGATGTAAACGGCGGCTTTGAAATAACTGTTGATCTGTCTGCCCATCTAGGTGAATTACAAGAAAGACTTTGAACACTCAAAGGCGCAGTTCCATCTGCCGCTGGACATGGTAACCCTGGTGCATGCCAGGAAGGCTCAGACCCTGGCCAGCCACCAGGACTACAGACACCCGCTCCCCCAGCACACGTCCTTGGCCGAGGACCTGAGGCTCAGCTGTGCCAAGAGAGCTCACAAGTTGCAGAGTGAGGTGAGGGGACCTGCCTCTCTCTTTGGCTCTTTTCCTCTTAAATTTGACCGTGAGGCAGTGACCCACAAGCTCCTGTTGGCTCAGTGGGGGCTCCAGAGATGAAGAATCCTATACCTGGGATTTCTTTTGAAGCACTGCCCGCGTTGTTCCTGCCTTGCTCTTCATAAGCCCAGTCACATAAATCTATTAATAACAGCAACAATTTATTGAGTGTATTAAGTGTGTGTTTGGTTGCTCAGTTGTGTCTGACTTTGTCACCCCATGAACTTAACTTTCCCCTGTGGAGACTGCCAGGCTCCTCTATCCATGGAATTCTCCAGGCAAGAATACTGGAGTGGGTTGCCATTTCCTTCTCCAATTTATTGAGTATTTCTGCTGAATTCTAGGTGTTGCGTTTATAAGCAAAAAAAAACCTGCTTTCTGGTTTGGCAGAGCCTGAGAGCTGAGTGGCGCTCAGATCTGGGTAGCTGTCGTCTGTTGGAATTTCCTGCCCGTGTGCGGCGTTTACTGAGTGACATTAACTGTCGGGAACCCAGGAGCAGCTGGAGGAACTAGCGAGCCGCCACGCTCAGCTCAGGGACCCGTTTGTCACTTGAGCAGAGCCCTGGCTGTCCCTGCCTCTCCCAAAAAAAAAACCTGCTTTCTGGTTTGGCAGAGCCTGAGAGCTGAGTGGCGCTCAGATCTGGGTAGCTGTCGTCTGTTGGAATTTCCTGCCCATGTGCGGCGTTTACTGAGTGACATTAAGTGTCGGGAACCCAGGAGCAGCTGGAGGAACTAGCGAGCCGCCACGCTCAGCTCAGGGACCCATTTGTCACTTGAGCAGAGCCCTGGCTGTCCCTGCCTCTCATTGCCTTAGCAGTTGGAAGGAGGCACGCCCAGGAGGTGCCTCGGTGGCTGAAGGGGAGTGAATTTGAGGCCCTCTTTAAACTGTCAGCCCAGACCCTTCAGGTACACCCCCCTGCCCCCGCCCCCATCCCCACAGACTCGGGGCTTCGTCAGATTATTCTGGATTCATTTATTAGTTCTTTCTTAACCCATGATTAATTCATGCCGCCCTCTGCTGCTGGGGTTTGTTTTGAAGACCTATTAAATCATTTCCACATTTGCCCCAAGACAGCTGACTTTCTAACCACAATCCGCTCCAGCGATTATTTTTTGATAGCCCACATGAAAATAAAAATCCGCTGAGCACCCCTCTAACAGCTACAGAGACGAGTGACAGCAGAATTATTTTCTTCTGACCTACATTTTTGTTTCCCTAATGAGCATTTACTCAGAAGCCTGTGTGCGTTCGCTGAGTATTATGTGTCTGGAGAGGCTGGTTTGGCCTTGAGTTCTAATTATGATGCTGTCTGTGGTGGGTCCTTCCTTGTTCCACGTGATTGGTTTTTCTGATTCCTTGTAGAATTTGTACCGGTCGGACCTGAACTTTATGCGAGGTGTTGCCTGTGTCATTCCAGGCACATTAGAGATTGAAGGGAGAAAGAGAGCATCTGAACTCATCAGTGAGGTAACCAGGGGCCCAGGACGGGGTGGGGGTGTCGAGTATATTCCACAGTAGAGATTAAACACCAATCAGTTGCGTCTTACTAAAGCCAATTAGATGGTACATTTGTTAGCCATAGTGATTCGCCCGGCATCTCACCTTACTCCCTTCTCCATTCAGAAAGGGTGCCACATAAGACAACTTTCCAGATTCCGGGTCAGATCCTGTATTAATACCATACAAGAATTATTCACTGGCTCGCAAGATGTACTTTCCCACAATCCCTTTGAAGAGTGGCTTGTGAAAAGAGAGCAGGCTTTGGAGACACAGATGGTGATTCATTTGCTGTGTGACCTCAAGCCAGTCACCTGCCCTCTCTGAGCCTCAATATCTTAATCAGTCAAATGGGAATACTCAGACCTGTCTCATTTAGCTTTTGAGAGGACCAGCAGTCATCTAAGCCCTGTGCTTCTCTGCTGGCTGTATATGAAATCGTTGCTGTGAGCCTGGTGATAATTTCTTGGTAAAAATATAGAAGTCTGGAATTCTAAGCTTTTTGAACTCCTGAGGAATCTTGCCCACCCTGGGAGGACTCTGGGACTTCTGTTCCCAGTAGACTGGCATAGTGGAAGGCATTGGAAGTGAAAGGTGGTCAGCATCCAGCCTGGGTACCTCAGACTGGCTTATGCATTGATTGATTAGAAGCTCTGAGCAAGCAGAAAGGGCCTCACTGTGGGAGTCGAGATTTAACTTTGTGCATTGCTTTTCCAATGAAATCTCTAAAGCAAGTGGTTTCTAAACTTCATGGCACATCAGAATCCCCTTTGGAAACTTAAAAAATTTACAGAGGCCTGAGGCTACTGCCGATTTATTGAATCCCATTTCCTGGGGTGGTGTGCAGGCATGTGGGTTATTTTAAGCTGAATGATTGTTTCCCGTGTACCCCCAAAGCTGAGGAACCCAGGGTCTTCAGTGAGCAGAGGAAATTTGGGGCCAAAACATGAATTTCAATAGTCGTGTTCATATTCGTGGCAAAGGACTAGCTCTCCCTTTCTTGTTAACAAGCCCCCGATTCCGTCTGTCCTCTCCTCTTCTCCGTTTCTTCATCTCCCTGAGTTCTGAGGTCACAAGAGCAGGTGATGGACTGGATTCTGGGTCACAGACTGGCAACCTTTGCAAAATGAGGTTTTATAACTAGTGCTTAAAGAGCTTATTCTTCCTCTGGTTTTGCATCTCACCTTGTCCTCCTATTCCCTCCTGTGTGTAACTTCAGAGTAAATATCGTCAGCATCCCCAGTCGCTCAAGTACACAGCCGTGACAGACACACCCAGCCTCACTCATGCAAAGCTCAGCAGCCAGATTACAAACGAGGTAAAACCTTTGGATGACTTCAGGATGGGCTTTTTAAAAAACTGCTGGATTGTTTGTTTTTTTAAAAAAAGAATATGAATATTTGTGGGATGGGGGAGGTGGGGAGCAGGGGAAAGCATGCGTGTTTGCATGGAAAGAAAGGAATATCATTAGATGAAGCCTAAATGGTTTCCAGAAGGAAAGAAGGCCCAGTTGAAAATCTGTTTTAGTCTGTGGTCTTGCCCTACCCTGCCACCCCAACCCCAAATGCATTTACAGATTGACAGCCTCAGCATCCCCTGGGAGCTTGTTAGAAATGCCGAACCTCAGGTCCCACCCAAGAGCCATCGAATCCACAAGGTCATTTAAGACCCTCACGGCTTTGCTTTGCACATGAAAGTTTGAGAAGTGCTGGTCTGTCATTTGTCTGTTCTAGCTGGGCAGATATTGGCTAACGCTTCTTCCATTGTCATTCCGAAGATGGTAATGGGGAGGATTTGTGATTGTCCGGGGACGGTGATTGATACAGTGTGAAGTCTGCCAGGCTTCTTGGTTCTCTGCCTTCCCGTCTTCTCGCTCACCACTTGCCCAATTCTCACTGTAATATTCGAGCAGAGGGGGCCCAGGGGAGAGACTCTTAACTCCGTCAAATCATCGTTCCAGCTCTACCTCTTCGGAGTGGCTCTCTGACATGTTTGAAATAGCAAGTGAGCTTGGCAGAGAATGAAATGAGTTTTTCAGATTCTCCTTCCGACCCTAGCTTTTAAAAGTCAGTTGAGATTTGGGTATTTATATATTAGTTTCCACACTTACCCCAAGATTGAGCTAAGAAGACCCAAAGGGCTGTGTAGCGATGTTATTGATTTAAGAGTCCCACCGAACCGATCTTGCCTGCTTTGTGATCGGGGTATTGTGGGATAGTAATGCCTCCTTCAGTGGCCTCTGGCCTCGGAGAACTCGGCAACCACAGGCCATTTCTAATTACAAGAACATGTGTTTTCATACCGGCTGAGGCCCTGCACGGGAGCACTGGTGTGTTTGCCCATGGGAGGATCCTGGGACTTTAGTGAAGGATGCAGACCGGGGTTTGGGAACCTCCTTTCCAACCAGCAGAACGGCTCCTAAATTTCCCAGATATTAATATTGTCTTTACACCGTGTCCTCAGCAAAAAAAAAAAAAAAAAATCTACAATGGAAAGATCTGTAATGATATTCCTAAAGGTGTTTCCCCCCACCCTGCCCGTCCCCATTATTGAGCAAAGTAGAGGGCAGGGAAAAATATGTTTTCTTTGACTCACCTTGAGTTCTCGGCTGGGGTTCTGTAACAAAAGACAGATGAACAAGGGAAAAGCATATACATTTATTTAATATGAACTTTAGGGGATGCAGGAGTCTTCGTAAGGAAATGGAGATCAGGAAGAACCGTTAAACCTGAGCGTTTTTATTCCAGGTTTGATGAAGAATGTAAGATCGTGGGCAGGTGTCATAGAACAAAAGGGGATAAGCTGAGAGTAGGAAACTAGGGGACACTGAGTTTGTTCAGATGCCTCTCGGGTTCCTCGGGGTTCAGAGATCAGATGCCCCTTTCCCCCTCCACCAGAGGGAGGGCAGCTCCCCCAGGAGGCATGTGACCTGCTTTAGGGGGGAAGGTCAGAGAGAGGTTTTCCATTTCCTGCTACTTCCAGATTCCTTCTTAAAATATGCACTATACTCAGGTACCCTATTTGGGGGTAACATGTCCTGAACCCCGTCACAACCAACTTGAAATTTTTTTACGTATTCCTTTCATAGCACTCAATTTGACTCATGAAGGACTATCTTTCCTTCAAGTTTTTTTTTTTTAATTTTGATGTGGACAATTTTAAATCTTTTTTGGATTTCTTATAATATTACTTGCTTTTTAAAAAATTTATGTTTTTGGTTTTTTGGCCGTGAGGCACACGGGATCCTAGCTCCCCAACCAGGGATTGAACCCACACCCTCTGCATTGGAAGGTGAAGTCATAAACACTGGACCTCCAGGGAAATCCCATGAAAGATTACCTTTATTGAAAGAAATATCTTCCCCAGGCTGAGGGCGTGTCCATGACACAGTGAACGGCCTTTTACAAACGTATTTCCCAGTTGCAAAGGAGGGACCTCCAGTCCTGCAGAAATGCACAGCGCTTACCTTCTTGTTTTTTTCCCCTTCTGCCCAGCGCCTCTATAAAGCAGCAGGAGAAGATGTGAGACACCAGTACACCATGACCCTGGGTCTGCCTGAGTTTGTCCGAGCGAAAACAAACGCGGCCAATCTGAGTGACGTAAGCCTTTCCCATCGCTGAGGCTGAGATGTTCTCCAAGGTCAAGTCTATGTCTGTGATGGGACATAGCAGTGACCCTGCTGGCATTTGTAGAAACTTTCAACCATGTATCTTCTCGATGTGCATGTTAAACACCTTTTCCCAGATGTGTTGATATATATGTGTCAGAGCCCACTTCTGGGAGGGTGCTAATAAGATTTTCTTTGCAAATCGAAAGCTTTTGATTGTCAGAAATCCGTTCTGCAACACCACACCACAAATGAAGTGGGTAGCCTTTGTTCATGGGGTCATGTAATTTTTTTTCTTAAGAAGATATACATGTGTTCCTACCATAGGCAAAATACAAGGAGTCTTGGAGGAATCTCCGTGCTCAAGGCTACAAGCTGACAATAGATGCTCTGCCCTTCCAGGCAGCTCGAGTCTCTGGAGACATAGCCAGTGATGTGAGTTGAATGATACGACCTTCCATTCTGCCTAATTTCTGTTAACTTCATGTAAAACAATGTCTATGGCTGATTTCCCTGAATTAAAGCAGATCTTTTGCCATGTGAGACAGCATGTCATCCGTGGAATATATTAGTTATGAATGAGATTCTTTGATGAGAGAGGGAAAGAAAGGCCCTGGTAATCAGAAGCTAAATGCAGGCAAAGATCTCCAGCAGAAAGGAGATTACAATTTATTTCTAATTGTAGCATCTAGGCAACCATCTCTCCGTAATGTGTGAACTGTCTGTTTTCCAACTCCACCCAGAATTAGAAAGAATTTGCAGTAGAAATTGTAATGTGGCCATAGCACAGTCCCCTCTTGACTCTCTGTAGCTTCCCGCATTGGCGGTAGGGTTTGCAGCTGTGTTTCAGCCACTATCCTCATAG